CGGTTGGTATCCTGACTGCGACACCAGGGGAAGCGTCCATCTGCCTATGTATATATGCCACAGAAAATTACGTTCCTTTTCTAAACATAGACGAACAGTCTTAAATGATTGGTCTAAATATCCCACACTGAACAATGTTACAATGATAAACTTGAAGACTTTAGATGATTTAGTTTTAGAGCCCAGCTCTTAGACATCCGTTTCCGGATTACGCGGCGTCGGCGTAACTGCGCAAAATTTAGCTGGAAAGTTGACGTCACGTGATCTCAACATTAATTCATCTCCCCACTAAATTTAGTAGGGAAATTCTGTTTCTCTCCTGGATTTAGCGGACAAATTCAGTTTCTCTGCTAGATTTAGCGTGCAATTGACATCACGTGACCTCAACACCAATTCAATTTTCCGCTAAATTTAGCGGGGAAACTGAATTTGTACATAGGTGACGTGACACAAAGTCATGTGATGTCGATCATTTTCTCCGCCAAACTCAGCGGGGAAATTGAATTGGTGTTGAGGTCACGTGGCGTAAATTGTTCAGCTAAATTTACAAAGAAACTGTGGGGGGAGGGGAGGATATGGTGGAGGAGGAGGGGAGGGTACGGAGGAAGAGGATGGGAGGGTGCGCAGGAGGAGGAGGAGGAGTGAGAAGTGGACGAGGAGGAGGTGCCTACCCCTCCCTCCTCCTCCTCAAAAGCTGCGCTCTAATTTCGCATTACAGAGATTTGTAAACATCTTTCTTTTTTTTAAAGAAAACGACCTAGAAAATATATCACAGACATTAAACGTCCACTAAGGACATCTGGGAGTTGATCCCGAGTACCAGAAGATACGCGCTCAACGCCGTCGTATGAAACGACAAGCTTGTACGAGCGGAATGCTCGAAGGTCAAACGAAAGTCAGACATATTCAAACGATAACCAAACACGAGCTCGAATATTTCGGAAAACGCCGATGGAACAGTTTTTGGCATTCAATATTACCGAACGCCCCGGCGGTACAGGCATCACGCTTAGTTCGCTCATTAAAATCACCAGTTTTACAACGTCAACCATTGCGGACGCTGGCACTTCATTGATGTGTCAGTGATATATAGCCTAAGAATTTTGCAGAGTGGTCACACATGAAGTATCAACGACCATAACAAACACCACTAGAGAGACAGTCTGCCCGTTGCTATCAAAATATTATAACAATAGCATAAATCGGTCATTCAACAAGAGATAGCTGAAATGTGCATTGAAGAGACTTCGCCGAAAAAGCGCCCCCGGACCTGATGACATCAACCCGGCTGCACTAGCGAATGTAGGTAAACAAGCTTTGTCTTTCCTATATATATATATATATATATATATATATATATATGTATGTATGTATGTATAATCAATGTTGAATTAGTGGTCATATACCCTTGGTATAGAAAGAAAGCGATTTTAGTACCTGGTCTAAAACCTGAAAAATCTTCTTTAAGCATCTCATCTTTTAGACCTGTGAGCCTCACAACTGTACTAATGAAGACGATGTAACATATGGCTTTGCAACGACTAGATTGGCCGTTAGACTCCAGTGGAATATTGCCTTTCCAAATGACCGACTTTAGACGAAATATGTCGGCCATAAATTCTGTTCTCAATCTGGTGACCTGTGTAGAACACGAGCGCAGTATTCACAAGGTGGCAGTGGCAGTATTTCTTGACATACAACGCGTATTTAAAACTGTCAGTCACTAGTATTTTGTCACGAATGACAAATGATAAGGCGGCGCATCACTGGAGAAACTAAACGTTTAATGAGCGAACTTGTGCCCAAAACAAAATAGAACATGATCAGCGTCGCATGCGTCGATGTCGGAGAAACAGCAGGATCGGGCGCTGGGGCGAAACTGACCTCGGCTCGCCATGCTGAGTCCCTTATGTATCCGCGTGGGTTTCTGGAACATTCGGCGTAGAACGTTCAGCGCGTAGAGAATTTGTACCTCAATCAAAAGACGATGTACTCAAGGTTGGGAGAATGCTAAATTGAAAGAATAAATAAAGGACGAGTCCGCTTCCAGGAATCGAACTTGGGGCCTCTGCGCGAAAGCCAAAAACGGGAGCCATTCGTCCACGCCCGCGCTCGTTCGCCGACGCGCGCAGAAATATCATTGAACACTACAGCGGCTAGAAGTAAGTGTTCGCCTAATCAGATGAATGAGCGATTTTCTTCGTACTCGGTCGGTATATGCTCGATCACCCAATGGCTTTACATCTAAGCATTACGTTTCACATGGGGTACTTCAAGGAAGTGTATCAAGTCCTACATTATTTAACCCTGTTTGAACAAAACTTCTAATTTATTACAAGATAATATTTAAACTTCACGTCAATACCATTCAGAGTTGTCCCCAGACAACTCTGTCGAGGTATGCTGATTTCTTCTGAAAAATCTGCGGTTCTTCCAGTTACATGGTAAAGGCTTGATAGTTTTGAACTCACACTTCGTGGGCAACCTCTGCCGTTGGTAAAAGTTCATCGTTTCTTCGGAGTATACATCGACCGAAACCTCTCTTGGACAGCTCATACAAAATATTTAGAAGAAAATATAGCGCCATGTGTAAGTATCTATACATTGTTGCTCAAGAAAAAGAAGGGGTGTACTGCGAAGGCACTTGTAACTATTCACAGAGAACTCGTTACACAGCCAATATCATATTTACTTACAGCACTGTGTGGATTCTCCTTTACTCTTGAAACGCGGCTAAAACATCTGATAGCTTGCAGCCTACGAATTTGGTAAGGAATACCACGAGTGGCAGCTAGTTCCTTGGTAATTACGGAAGCTCGCGCTCTCACAATACCAATCTTACGTGAACGAGAAACTCTCTCTCATTTCTTCCGTCGTCTGATTCGCCGTCGTGATCATCCCCTCGTGACAACTTTTTGTCGTAGGGCCTTTTCCAGAGTACATAAGATAATAATGGCCGAAACTGACATCATTCCCACAAGGTTCGCGCCCCAACTTGAATCCACGGCACCGCTCTGGACGTATAACTGCTCAAATAGTTCTACACCTGTGCTTTGAATTAAGAAAAAGTCGACCTTGCACCAAACCACGCTGAGGGAACTCATACTTTCCATGCTTGATAATGCTCCATTTGGCATGAGTGCAGTTTACACGGGTGGGTCAACCAAAGACTCATCATCGACGGCAGCTTTCATAATTCCATCTTTATAAGTAGAAAAAGGTATTTTTATTTGCGCCCGAAACAAGCTCAACTAAGACGAAACTGTTTGGTATGTTGCGAGCTATTCTGTACATTACACAAAAAACTGACACTACGAGTTGGATTGTCTACACAAATTCTATGACTGCTTTGAACATGATAAAATACAGAGCACCTACAAGTTCCTCTATTACCATCAATATTTGCTTTCATACTTTGAGACCTATTGAAACAGGACATCAAGTCGAATTTTAGTGAATTCCTGGACACCATATCTGAGGAAACAAAGCGGCTGATCTGGCAGCCAAAAATGCACACAATCTGGACAGTACGAGCGCAACTATTTTCACAAAAGGAGACACATTAATCCTGCTGCGGAGCACGTCAAGGCAAAGATCCCAAGCAACATGCTTCAGGAGCGCTTCCCAAAACCCTCGCCTTGAACGAACTGACCTTGAGATAAAGTGTTGGACGCCGCGACACATTTCAGGAGCCTGTGGAACGCTAATACACAGACTTCGATTGGGTATTCCTTTTGGAAACCATTTTTTTTTATGGAATACAACGAGTTAATTCCCCTCTGTGCCCCGGATGTGACGAATTTGAAGACACAAAACACATCCTCATCAACTGCCGACGTTATATAAATGAATGTGACCATCTTCGACAACAAACGTCCACCACCGATAACCTGACGTCCCTCTCAACACTCCTAGGTACATGGAGCGCACCAAGGACCCAGCAGAACGTGATCAGACATCTTGAAGACTTTCTCATGGACACAAAACTAACTGGAAATGATTGACACAATGGTTTGCGTGTGCAGTGGTCTCCTGGCTTACTGTTGCTGTGTTGCAGCACATTTCTGAAGGAATCAGGGCATTGTTTTGATATTAGTCGATCTGACGACCAAGTGACATGGTCACATCTCCTCATATCGAGGACGAGTGCTTGGACCGGGGACAGTGCCCCTCCACCAAAGATAGGTGATAGTGCTGTGACGTTTGGCCCTGGGACTTTTTACATTTTATTACTATTTTACTGTATATATGCAAATATTTTTAGTATGATATTTACATATATTGATCGTAATTTTAATATATGGTCTGGAGTAGTCGGCGCTGGCCCTACAGCTGCTGACATCTCCACTTCTACGATTTTTCATTCAAATAAATATATATTCTCCCTGCTAGTCCAGCAGTGTGTTTGTTCTCATTTTTCTCTCTCTCTCTCTCGCTCTCTCTCTTTGTGTATCTTCTTACGTTAAGTTGGCATGCTTCAAAAGTGTGAATCACCAACTAGCTCAGTATCGACGATGCGCGACGCTGGCTCTGCGAGTCGAAAATAACGCGCGGGGAACTATTCGTGACATCATTTGTTCTCTTCTCCTTCTCTTACCGACCTCTTCTGCTGCCGCGGAGGGGCCTGGTTTCAAAGCAACTTCAAAAGCGTCTTTCTAGGTGATGCGGGCATGAAAGAGCCTCCTTTGCGTGATGTTCGTAACAATTAGAGTCGGATTAAAACAAATCAAAAGCTTTTAATTAAATTCAAAACCGCTTTAGCTTCCCTCTAATATTTCGCCTTCGTGCCAAGTTAAAGAGGATCAACCACTCAGCTAACTATATAACACAAGACAGGGATGTATCGTGAACTGGCGTTGGCGCTTAACAAATAAATTTATTAAATGAAAATTAAAAGACAGAAAAAGAAAATACATCTAATATTGCGCAAAATAATGGATGTGATGCGGAAAGAGAGGACAGCCCACTATATTATTTTGTGATCCTCGTTTCATGTGCAGCTCCCAGTTTCTTCCCCTTCTTCTGGAAGCTGGTGCGGAACTTCATAGCGGAGAAGACGGCAACTAAAATTGAAGTATTTGCACATGGTATGAAATGAGCTTGTCTTTTTTCATTGTTATGTATTTTATTCTCGACGGTGGCGTGCATGGCTGTAAGTGTTAACGAACAATCAAAATGCAACAGGAAGGCGGATGTCCATCCAAATGATGATTGTGTGCAGTGTCGATGCAGGTTACTTAGGACTCTGTCCGTGCCGGAGTACCAACACCCTTGGTCGAATCAAGTGAAGAGGTGGACAATAGTATAACTTTACGTCAAACCTCTATGCTTCTCTTCATTCTATTTTTGTGTCGTCTAAGTAAGCAATCTTTCTCATGGAAAGACATGTTTAGCTGCCATGAAGCAAAAAAAAAAAAAAAAAGAAAGTCTTCTGTAGTGTTTAGTGATGCATGCTTTTCGTTTTTATTTCTAAATTGTCGCTAGGAGCCAACAAATCTAGAAATGAGAACGGTTGAATATAGTCAATCACGCCCCGCTTGGAAATATAGAGCAAACAAGTGGAACGAGTAGTTCAGTACGTGTGCGTGTGTGTGTGTTGTCCACTTTTTTGTTCCTCGGTCTCGGGTTTTCAAGTTGTTGAAAGTTCACCAGCTCGCCTGCATGGTCCTTGTTATTCTTATCCTTGAAAGTCGCGCTTTATTTCTCGGGGAGTGAATGCACTTTTAGCCCTCTCGTCGACTGGAGCGAAAGCAATACATCTTACCTCACAAAATCAGATACATATATGCGACCACACTGCTACCTTTGTACACACTTATCGTGCCTTAACTCCCTTTATGTCTAATTCTCGTTTCTTTTAATTTATGTAGAAGGCTGGAAGCCGGCATTACTCGAGTACATAGACCCTTCTCAGCTTCCGGTGCACTGGGGCGGGGAGCTTCTTGGACCGGATGGCGACCCAGAGTGTTCTCACATGGTAAGGACGTTCGTCTCAACTACGGTGCCTAGATCGCGTGTTCAACTGCGGTGTTTGGCGTCCTATACGCACCACACATGCATCAGAAGTGGCCCCAAGGTGGCAACAATGACGTCATACAAGCCGGTCCGTCATGTTGTCGGACGTCGCGATCCTCGCGATCGGTGCCAGAAGGCAGGGTCGCTGCTGTTGCTGAGTCTCAACTTCTGGCCGCTGAAGCTTCTGTGGAATGTAAAGCTGAAAACTGGGACCTGTAGCAGAACATACAGCTGTTGAATCCAGCACCGCTGCTGTGACACCGCCAGGATTTCGGCCTAGGACAGCGTGACATTTCTATGACGTCATAAGACGGAAATCGAGGGACGACTTTTTAGAACGTGGCAAGCACACCAGTTGGAGACGCGTTCCTCGCACCATATCTTGAACAAAAACAAAACAAAACATTATTTAAAAAAAAGACATAAAGAGATTGGTATCATTCCAGCATTACTGTATATCTTAGCAGAACACTCTAAAAAAAGTCCGTGCATCCGCTTTCCCGCACAACACTTGGAGAGCCGATCATGGCAACTTACGAAGGCAGCTCGGCGAGTGACGATGGCGAAACATAGGTTAGACCCAAAAACGCAGTCTGAGTTGTGGCATTAGGGAATTCAAGCGTGACGTTTTGCATTGCTTAATGTCACGACTCATACTGCGTTTTTTGGTCTAAACATATGTTTCAGCATCGTCATTCGCCTAGCTGCCTTCGTAAGTTGCCGTGATTGGCTCTCCGAGTGTTGTGCGGGAAAGCGGACACACGGGCTTTTTTAGACTGACTGTTCCCAGAGATAGAAAGACGTGTACCGTGTAAAACCTGCTTCGACAAAAGAACCAAAGTTACGTAGGTCAAGTTGTGTTGCGTTGCTTGGTGTAGAATCAGTGAATGTTCCCAGAGTATCAAATGCCATGCAGTCCGTTTACCGGATGTCAATCCCGTAGAATCCAGTTGTGATTGGCTGGTTTAGCCCGTAACGGAAGTTATCAGTCGACTACCTCTTGGATAAGCCCTAAAGAAAAAAACGCTTGTAAAATGTTTTTGCGTTACCACGGGCACGGCGGGTACGCATGGATAAGATCTCTGTGCATCGATGAGTTAGAACCGAATGGAAGGTGCGTTTTTTTTTTAATAGCAAGTAGCCGCTAATCTGGTTCGCGAAAGAAGCTTTCTGGCTCGTTTGCTCGCTCTGGTTGCGCTGGCGCTGCGTTTCAAACTCTACGCCTCCGACGCCAAGCCTAACACTCGATTTCGATGTGTTTGAAGGCGAGAGAGACGAGACATCGAGGAGCAGGTTACGCACCCTACAGAACGAAGGAAAACACTTTAATAAAAACTAACCAGCGCCGCCACAGACCAGGAAAGCGTATTGAAGGGCTCGCACGAGAACGAACGCTAACGTAAGCACTTCGCTTCGACCGCACAGGGCAGCGCCATGTTGGGGATAGGTTGGAGCGCGACTGCTGCGCTGTGACTCGGTTCTAGAACGAAGCTTGGGAGTTTCGGTACTCTGGGAATATTCAGTGACTCTAGTTTGGTGTAAGGCCTGATTACGGTCTCTTTAGCAAGGGCGCATAGGCCTCGTTAGGTTTTGTAGCCTTCCACCTCTCCCATCCGGATGTATTTTCGAAAAATGAACAATAAAAAAAAAAAAAAGAAAGCGGAGCGTTAGGTTGTCATATTTCTTCTATGGCGGGCTATGACTGGCTACCTATATCAGAGACTACTCTATAGAGTAGTCTCTGATATCTCGGACTTGGTGTGAAGCAGTGTATATATATATACACTGCTTCACACCAAGTCCGAGAGCAGCCGAAGCTATATGATCCCGATGGAGTCAATCTGGCGGTGCTTCAGTGGCAAAAGTGCACAATTACGGGACTCGTCGTCTTCGCGCGTTTTCTGTCAACGGCTAAACCAATCATGAAATGTGAATGCGTCATGATCGTGCACTTTTTTTTTCTGTTTGCGACTGATTTGGTTAGCGCGGAAGGTAGTGCGTAAGGGTTACACACATATTGCGAGAGCGCCGTGACGAAGCACTTTTGGTGCTGCTTCATTGGTTCCATCGTATCATATGGCGTTGGCTGCGGTCGGTAATAGCGTGAAACGGAATTTAATAAAAGAAGATTCGGGAGTTCAGCGTCAAGTTGGATGGAATAAAAAAAAAAGAAGAAGAAGAAGAAAAAAAAAGAAAAGAAAAGAAAAGGTTTACAAAATGAAAAAAAAAAAAAAAGTAATCAGTCGCGAATGAGCTAACGATTTGGCTGTTATTGGAGAGGAGAGGATCGGTTCTTTCGCGACAGGGAAATAGATCGCGGCACTCTGTCAGGGGTTGCGGTAGAAGAAAGCGGAGCGCAAGTTCATCTCTTTTTTTTTTTTTTTGCGGGAGCAGCTTGCTTTGATGCCTATACCCACTATCCTTTTGTCGGAGCCAATCAGAGCCCGGCGTTTAGAGGTCACCACAACCCGTGCAAAAAAAGGCAGACCAACTTGCGCTCCGCATTATGTCCCATCACGCTCTGTCGTCGCAATTTAGGTTTTTTTTTATTGATTGGTAATTGGATCGATTTCGCAGCGTACTTCACCAAAAATTTACGGTAATAAAAAAAAAAAAACTTGAAATTCAGAAATGATTCTTTCTGGATTCAGTTTTCAATCGCGGCGGACGTCAGGCTGCAAGTTTAAAGTGACAATTAGCGAATTGCTTAAAATCCAACGATCACCATTCAAAATTTTTTATCTTAGTTCTTACATTTCAAGTTTGGTGCCCATCATCAAAATATGCCATAGCTGCTATGGAGCTGCTCACCTAGGTTTTTGACCTTACTCGTTCTTGATACTTTTAGGTGTGACGGCCTTGTGTTCAAAATACTAAGAGTGTCTGTACACTACGCGGAGCGCAAGTTCGTCTGCTTATTTCGCAGGTGTTCAGGTGACGTCAAAATGCCGAGCTTTGATTAGCCCTGATTGAAGGATAGTGTGTAGACCTCAATGTTACCTGCTTTGAGGTCTACACACTATCCTTCAATCAGAGCAAATCAGAGGTCGGCATTCTGTCGTCACCACAACCCCTCCAAAAGAAGCAGACGAACTTGCGCTGCGCATTTGTTGGGATTTTGCCATCGGGGGCCGGTAACATAAGTACACCGTAAATTGGGAGCGGCTCTACGGTCATCATTTCAGTTTCCCCTAGTACGCACTCCCAATCGAATAATCTTGTTATCACGTTGTTCATGAAAATACCAACTACCATGGCCCATGATCCGAACAGTACCAATATCAATAACTATGATCCAACTTGTGGTGAAACTCTCAGACATCTGTTGAAATTACTAAAGTAGGCGATAAAATACCTTCTTAATTTTTAACACTGCACTGCTAAGTTGTATACGAAAGAACCTATAGTACACGACGACGAAGAAAATAATGATCAAACACATGTACGTGTACATCGTGCTCAAAGGGATTTCTGGTGATATCCGGAAGTTAATATATATTTGCGCTGGTCACGGTAGCGAAGGCCTAAATATAGTTTGAAGTCAGATGTGATATTTAATTCATGAAAAGACGCGCCAATAGTCGTTACATAAATTATGAACATCGATACGAAACTTCACGCCAATCGCAAGTATGCATGGCTTGTCGTGGAGTGACGTCACATCCTGCATGGTAACGCCAGAGTCGCGGGTTATGACCTACTCCCGCTTTTGGTCAACATGGTTGATGGTGCGTACAAAGATCATTGTCGAAATATTGAGCTTCCCTCAATACCGTAAATCTTGTCTTTCTTAGAACGAAGTTATTTGACTGAGACAGCAGTTAAAAGCTGAGATGGCTTTCTTTGCCTGATGTTACGTCAGAGCTGCCGCTGTTGCTAACAAAACAATGTGCGTTTGGTGGGTGCAATTCGAGCAGTTGGGCTCTGTTCAAAATTTAATTATTTGCGTGGCGGAGGATAAAGAGTTCGGATATTTTGCGCATGATATTCCTAAAAGCAATGACAATATCTTTTTAATTGTCTTCTGAAAGACAACACTGTGACTTTCGTATGATGTACGAGCAATGGTACTGCGGCTTTAAAGGAAAATGACTTCTGAGGACCCAATCAGTAGTATGGGCACACCTAAAAAGCAGTGATCATCATCCCGGCGCGTTCCTGGTGGGGATCGATGAAATAATCAGCGGGGCCTATGCAGATCGGGCGCGGAGGCGAGGTTCCCGTCGAGCTGTATCTGAAGAACGGGCCCAAGGTCTTGGATGATCCCCACTCTGTCAACTGCTTCCTCGAGAGGGGCGAGCATCTCGAGGTCCCCGTCCAAGTGGAGCGCGCCGGCTGCATCCTTCGCTGGAAGTTCCAGACGAGCCCTGGTCACGACGTGGACTTCAGCGTCACGCGCGGGCCCACCGGAAAGGGGAAACAGAAAGAACAAGTCATGCAGGTCACCAGGATCAGGTGTGACCTCGTGCCGGAGACGGGGCAGCTGGAAAACCCCGAAATCGGAACATGTGAGGCCGGCATTGTTTTTCTTAATTGTCGATGAAATGTATAGTGAGACGCCTCAAGCGATCAAATCATTGCAGGCCTACTTTTTAGCGCGTAAAGGTTACCACTGGTAATTGCGATAAATCTAAGCGGGCCTGGTGTTTAAACTTTGTGAGGCTTTGTCGCAGAGGTGAACGTGAACACCTTTGGTTTCTCAGTGTGAGGCCGGCTTTATTTTTGTTCATTGTCAATGGAATGTTTAGTGAGACGCCTCAAGCAATCAAATAATTGGAGGCCTACCTTTAGCGCGTAAGGGTTACTGCTGGTATTTGCGACAAATCTAAGCGGGCCTGGTATCCAAACTTTGAGAGGCTTTGTTGCAGAGGTGTACGGGAACACCTTCGGTTTTTTAGCTATCCAGATAATATAGCTTTATATATGAACTTCCAAACGTTCAAGGCATCTATTGTGGATACGCTTGCAAGCTTGTTATTGCTAGAAATAATAGTTTATATTTTTTGACGTGTAAAACAAGTGAAGATTTGTTAGGTTAAGTGTTTATGACAATAAAAAAAGAGAGTGTAACATACGAACACAAAGTTACGCACAAAACTTAATTTTTAAATAATACAAAACAATGCAAAAGAATAACAATAAAAAAAATGTCGCGACCTGAAGCATTTTTTTGTTTTAATGAACGCATACGACGTCTTTGGAACTATTTTGGCATAAACAGTTGAATTAAGGGCGAAGTTTCTCGTGAGTAATTTATTAAAGAACACGTTTTTGTATTTTTGTTTCAGATATTTTCAGATTTGACAACAGCTTTAGCTGGTTCACCAAGAAGCGGCTTTCTTACGTTTTGCAAGTGATCTCTCCCGAAGACGTCCCTGCTCCGGGCAGCTAGTGATTGACTGCTTATATTTGCCTGTTTGGTATTTTTAAAGATGCAGATTAAAGTTATCGGAAGTAAAGATGAAATAAAAATACCTCGACGATTATTTTCCACTATACGCGACGATGAACGAAGTATGTTTCGTGCGAAATCTTGATGTCGTTTGTTATATAGAAGCTCATTATATATTTTCCATATCAGACCGTGCCCCGAAACGTTCCATATCTTTAGAGAGAGAGAAAGAAAGAGATAATCAACGTCTCTTAAAGCGCTATAGTCGGTGCCCAGTCTTTAGAGATTGCTAATAATTAAAAAAAAAAAAAAAACGATGGTTGAAAAACGAGGGACAAGTTCTTTTTTGTTTTTTGATTAGAGACCTTGGCGCTCAAGTAAGCGCAACAATAACCACTTGTACCCACAACATGTACAGTCATCGGCTACTAAAGTAAAAGAAAGAAATACTTGCTTCAGACGCATAGATTTTGATCTATCACGATGTTGCTAATGCTGCACGAAACCCTTTCTTATTTTGAGCTCAGGAGTTACAGAGAGTAGGTTCTTAATGGGCGCGTTCAGTAGCGGCTTCCTCAGCTCCGAACAGGGTAGCTCTAGTCAGGGTTCTCGAAGCGTCTACTAAACGGCAAAAAAGCGCGGTTTTTCAGCTGCTCCACCGCAGTTTCTGCTTCCTCCCCTGTAGTAGACGGTCTCTGAATAAAATGGAAGCAGACGACACCGATAACAAACGCGTTATTGTGCGCCGGTATTGAAGTTTCGAAAGGGTTGTCCGAGAAGAAGAGAGTAATTGTGAACACCGGCGTTGCTGTGCGGAGCGATCCAGCCCTTCGAAGTATGGTGCAAAAACCGCTACTGTCCTAAAAAAAAGACAACAATAACAGCGTCGTTTTTATTCACAGAATATAAAACTGGAAGTATGCACTCCGCCGGTTGCAATACTTTTATACGGCCATACGTTTGATCTGCACGTCTTACTTTGAGCACTTTTTACTTACAAAAATAAACGAACCTCAGACCCACGCCGCAGTCGACGTAACTTCTCCCGCCACTTTCTTTGAGCCCCGAAACTCAGTCTGCAATCGTAAAGCTTACAGATTAAGTTCTGGTCTCTAACTCCTCGTGCGCGGTGCCCGGACTCGGTGCACGAGAGCTTCATTCCTAACGCCCGGAGTTACGTGCACCGGAAGTCAATTTTTTCCGTCTAGTGGAGAGAGTGACTGACTCATTCATTCCGGGACCGCTACTGAACGCGCCCAGTGATGTAATCTGGGGGGGAGGGGGGGGGGGGGGGGGAGATTTGTGCTATGAGTAGACTGCTGAGTTAGATGCACTAGAAACTAAGGTAACATGCGCACGTGCATGCGCCAACATTCATCAGAATACAGTGAACGATTTTAAATATGTTATCCCTCTTACTGCAGGTTTAAATGAACTAAATGCATGCTTTTTTTTGTGGGTAAAGAGCAGATTGGCATAAATCATTCGCGTCTTCGAGAGCGTATTTTTGGGTCCTCCGCCGATGACGTGCTGTACCAAACCCGTTAACATTAGCCGCCCGACTCTTCAAGATGTTGGTGGAGGCTTAATGTCTGCTTCGCAACTTTCGCACTTTGTGCCGTCTGTTTGCCTGACTAGGTTCCATAAAAGATACCTCCACAAAGGTTCATGCCGTCACCTTCACTTGCAATGCTCGTTACTTTTGGACGAACGTTTTTTTAGTAAGTGGTGGAATTATTTCAGCGATAAGTTGGCATAAATTTAAGTTCACACGTGGGAAATAAAAGCTTGATGAGTACATGTTTGCATAACTGTGGCTCTGTTTTTATAGAGTTAAGGGCTATTCGCTTCATAAAGTCTCTAGACGCTTACCATACTCATGAACGTACACTGCAGCATGCGAGGTCTAGCACATTCAAGGTAGTCACTTTAAAAAAGCTCCCAGCACAGGTACCGCGCGCACGAACACCGAAGATCAGTTGGTGTATAAACGAGTTTATTGTTTATGAGAAGTAATAATTCAGCGTGCAATAAAAGTTGTCCAACCCTGCTTGCTTGATTCTTCTGCCAGCGAAAGAAGCAAGCGCCAAAGAAAACATTTGGAATGACTCGCGCTGGTGGACTGTTAGTATTACACGCTGAAATATTACTCTACAACATCTGGTTGTTGATAAACAAGATCGGGATCACGCGATAACTGCGGGCCGTGCCTGTACATAATTGTGTCGCGTGTATATTTGGACAGCGGGGGGTATAGTCGGCTCCAATGGGCGTCTGGTGTCTCCACTGTAGATAGAAAATGCAATCGCAGTATTACCGCTCGCCTGCTGTCTTTAACCTGCATCACGCAGACAGGCGACCGCACGCCGGCATGAGGCTCATCCAGATAGAGAAGGGAAGGACGTTGTGATGAGGCCTAGGCATAGCCTCCTATGTACTGACAAACCCTGGCATATCGCCACGAGGAACGGCCGCCGAAATGGAAAAGGTAGAGCGGCAGACAACGGATGAGAGGAGAGCCACGTGACTGGTACCCCGCTGCGGCGAAACGCCGAAACACGCTTCTCCCGACTCCCGAGCGAACAAGTGTGTATCGGGTCCTCACCGCTGCAAGAGCTGTGCGCTGACGTCCAGGTTCCCCAAGGAATGGCCTTTTTATGCTTTGTGCTACCAGATCCTCGCGCTCCAAATCTGCAACTGGGCACTCTATGGCTCCGTCGTCGAACTGCCAGGCTTTGTGAGTATGAGGGAGGCTATGGCTAAGGATCCGTGGGTTTTGCAGCGCAAGCCTTCGCTTTATCGTCTCCTAGCAGCGCTGCATTAACAAGCTCGGCAACAGACCTTCCTGTCTGCACATGTGCTAACTTTTAAGGTTGTGCGAATAGTTGTTTGAAATGAGTAGCGCCAGCGTTGATCCTATTTTCAAATACAGGTAAGAGAGCCGGGTGTCGTGGCTTTTCCCTTCACTGTGAAGGTTATGAGTGACGCAGCAATATACGATTCGAACCTATAAAAGGGTAGAAACTGAGGGAAAGGAGGAGACGAGAGTGCGCGGGGACATCAGCCCACCGAACTCTGGTAGGAACAGTTAGTGGATAAACGCAATAGCTAGCTGCCTTTGGCTCTACTCACTCTTGGAACGCATTAGAGTGTCGAACGACAGCATCCGGCGTTCGGAGTTAGCGTTCGAACGTATTCGAACTTTGAGTAGAGAGACCAAGGCAGCAAACTTGACGCCTACCCACTAGTTTTTCCGCCAAGAGCTCGGTGTTCCGACGTTCCCGTGCGCTCTCATCTCCTTCTCTACCTCAATTTCTACCCGTATTGGCACATCCATACTAAATAACATAGGGCAAGTACCACAATTTTCGACGTTGACAGCTAAGAATTTCGTCGCTTAGAAGTAACGCCAAGGATGACAGTCCGTTGATACATATATGCCTATACCCTGATACAAAAGCTCCTACATAAAAGCGTCAGTACCGGCATTAATTATTCGACATAATTGCTAAAAACAACAACAAACGCAGCTCTTGAGGAGGATGAGGGGAAGGTACATAGCGGAGGGTATGCCTCTCCGCTTCATGTGTGCCCTCCCTCTTCCTCTCCTCCTCGCCTACCATTTAACGAAAAAGCTTTGCTAAATTTACCGCTAAATTTAGTGAAAATTTCCCCACTAAATTAAGCGGCTTAAGTTTCCCCGCTAAATTTAACAGGAAATTTAGCGAAACTTTCCCCGCTAAGTTTAGCGGGTTATGTTTTCCCGCTCAATTCAGCGGGAATATTGACGTCGCGTGAGCTTCACGCCAATTCGGTGTCCCCGCTAAATTTAACGGGGAAACTGCGACGTCCCATAATGCTAGGCGCGCGGTCACGCGGACGCCGATGCCGACGCCGACAGCAACGCCGCTCAACCCGAAAACGGGCGCGTTAGAGCTGCGCTCTAAAACGCCCGCTAAAATTTTTTGAGACGGGTATCTGTTGTCCCTTCGTCGCACTGCACTGTAGCACATTTTTCCTCAGCATTAAATAAATCTAGCGTGTTCTATGCGACAGCACTCTATAGTTTAGAATTGTACAGAGTGTACCACTCAACATAAGTGTGCTAAAGGTGCGTATTCATGGGTCTTTGAAACACTAATTTTACATATTTGAGAATCAATACTTTTCACTGTAAACACGCACGCACGCACGCGCGCACGCACATTTACTACATATATCAGTGTACGTTAATGGAATCTTGTCGGTCTTTCGTACATTAATGTTCACTATGCTTAAGCAAATCGCTTACCTTAACGTTTTAATGAGGAAGAGCCTCCAAGCACAAACTAACGCGCGCGCACGCACACAAAATGAACAATATTTGAAGTTTTCACTACAGTCTAGACCGCCGTCAAATGATTTTCGGACGTGTCAACAAAATGGCCCGTCTTATGATTGAGTACCCAGGAAACTGACAAGCCACCGCGATAAGTATGCAAGTTAAACAGAAGGCCCCTTAACCACGAAGACCCGCTGATCTTTCCGCATCGATGCTTTTGTTCTTTTGTGCTTTTGTAAACAGTTCAGGCCTCCCCGTGGGAGACGTCGACTTCTAACTAAAAGTGACGTACTATAGGCAATAATATGTAAAAGAATATAACTTCCTCGTTTCTTTTTCTTGCATATCTTTAATTTTTGGAACATGCTATGGTCCCGACGAGGGTTTGAACGGAAAGTTTAGATCCCAAACTATATACCGTTTTTTTTTTGTGTTAGGTTTGGTGGTGGTTGCGTGGGTTGCGAAACTAGAAAGAAGAAAGACGAGCTGGCCCCTTTCGTAATGCTGCCGAGTCTATGTGACGTCTCCGGGTTTGTTTTTCATACGCCAACGATTTCCCTTCCTCGTCGTGTCCCAACGACCGCTGCTTTTCAATGCAGTCGTTACCCCTTCCTTTAGCGGAAAGGTACACCTAACTGTTTCCTTAGCCGACATAAGAATCCGTCCTAATGAGCGGGTACCTTGGTGATCTCAGCGAAAAACAAGAGCAAGCTCTGAGTGAGGTGAGTGTGCAAAGTCTGTGAGTACATAATGTTTCAATTTGAACTTTAGAAACAATGTCGGTATGCTCCGTTCCCTATTAAGTTCGACCGCAGCCAACGCTGTGCGAAGCGCAAGTTCGTCTGCTTCTTGCCCTGGGGTTGCGATAATGTCAGAACGACGAGCTCTTATTGGCTGATAGAAAAAAAAAATAGTGGGTAGAACTTAAGGCATCTAGCACTGAGGTCTACGCACTATCCTTTCAATCAAAACCAATTAGAGCTCGGCGTTGTTCTGACGTCATCACAACTCCTGCGCAAAAGGCAGACGACTTGGGCTCCATATATGATTTAACGGAAACAATAGAGCGTTTTCGTAGATCGTTTTCATCATCCCACAATCCACTACTTACCCCGGAACTTTACAGTCAAGGCTAGCGGCGCGCAGGCGCAGTAGCGGCGTCTTCCTCATGAAGGGCTAAGCGGAGGGGTAAACGCGGACTACGAGAAGTCCCTAATCAAGGACCGCTAAAATTGCATCGTCACGGCGCCTGTCTTTCCGACGCATTTTGACACCACCTGCAAAAACAATAGTGCACATACTAAAGCGCTGGATTAGGGCACGTTCGTGGCGCGTAAATAGTTGAGCCGCTGATAGGCCCTGTCGCTCTCGGCCAGGGGGCGCTGTAGCGTTCACGAGACGCGACTACAAGAGAGGCGCCTCCGCTAGCGTCCTCGAAACGCGACCATTTAATGCTGACGAGAAGTAGCGTCCCAGCGTCCCATGATGCACCTTCCATGAGCCTAATCTGGTGTCTGTGAACGTCGTTCCTCGGCGTCTGCTCATGGCTCATGCACACTGACAGAGGGTTTGAAAAGATACGACGCTACGCACAGCAGAAACACGACCTTAAAATATCTGATGTTACTCGCCAGGGGCGCTGTTCAAAACTTGAGAGCTACGGGTCTATGGCAAAAGCGCAAAGACGTCGAACAGCATGACGATGCGCTCTTGCGCTGATCGATCAGCTTTCCATCAAAGCGTAGCGTCAGCGAGGGACGGACTTAATATGGAACGGTGTGCTGATCCCCACAAGTCGGTCAGATGGACCGCATAAGTATTTGCATGACACGAAAGAAAACAAACACAAAACATGCTTATAATTGTGTGAATGGCGAGAAATTAACGATCCGCATTTCTGTTGTAACGGGAAAAACATTGGGGCATATGGCAGCCTAATCGAAAACCCTAGCATGCATCACGCAGTACCGATAATATGAATGTATCCATGCCTACGCAACGCTTCCTCATATAATATATAAAGGAGCGTTGTGTATGCATGGATAAGTTATATGTTTTTGTACTTTTTGAAAAAAGGAATCGGAGGTGTTGCCAGTAATAAAAACGAGAATGTTTATTAAAAAACTAAATTAATACAATACAAAAAGACATAAGACGCTATCTTAGTGAACGCGCCTTGCTGTCTGGATATGTAGAGAACAAACCAGAAATTTCGCATTACACGTGCCGTCGTTTATCGCAGCGCGTAAGTGACATCCCCTCGAGTCTGGCCGAGTGCTGCTGTAAGATTAGCCGCTTAATAGTTCTTAGCGGGGTGTTCAATCTTTTAATGTAGAGCAGAAATGTAGCGAATTTGTTTACAGAATTAAGGATTCGGTGGAACAGTTAATGTCCCTCTAGAAGAAACACTACCAACAATATCTTTAACCTCTCGTTTTACAGCGCGGTTTCTGACTCGGTTTTCGACACGGCAAGAATCAATGTGTTTAAAAATCAAAGGTTGTCGTTACCCACAACCTTTAGGCTGTTGTTAGCAATACGCTGAGGAATTCGCTTTACTAAGTTTACTTCACTGGGGCATACACACATAAATAATGTGGAATAGCACTGGTTTACTTTTATCACGTGGGGCGGGCGTTTCAGAGCAGTTAGGTCCCATTCCTCGATCTCTCCAGTTCTCTTTCATTATTATTCTTTTCGCTTGCACGCTTCACGTAAAGTTATAAGGTATAACGCAACTAGTTTAATATTTTTATAGGCCATCTGGAATGTCGATAGTTTTTATCTCTGCCCATATCGGGGCAATGCTTACTCTTTGCTGCACTTTTACGCGCCGATGCATGTACCTATTTACATAATGTGAGTCTTAAAAAAAATCTCATGACTTGTTTAGTTGTTCGGTGCCTGGAGACACCAGAAAAACATCGTTAATGACGAAGTGCCTCGTGCCCAGGAATCGCACATTTTCCGACTTGATCCGAGTCAGGGTTTCCCGGACGTTTTCCGCATTCCCGTGCCGTTGTCTCGAAGGGCTGGTTCAGATACTTGGCGTTCTGAGTGAAACCAATCAGGTCGCAATCAGGCCTCAACCGCCTACGACTGATTAGGACCAAATGATAACTCGGAATGCACCTCATGATTGTTTTTGTTTTCATTCCGTTAAACCCTGTATCTCATTGTATGGGCCTCCTGCGCTGCCCAGAGGGTGCTGAGAATGGGACTTGTTAGGACTAGTTTTGGGTAGTAGAAATTTTAGCGTCTCAAACTGTCACGCATGCAGAAGCGTGCCTGCTCTGGTGCGGAGCGCGAGGTCACGATGAAAATACAAAGAAAGAACAAAAATTCGAACGCCATCAAAGCTAAGACGCTGAGAGCGTGAGCCAAGAGATGCCGTTTCACGCGTTCCAAAGTAGACACCAAAAAGAAAAAAAAATGAAAGCGTCGCGACACAGGTGTTTTGACGTCACCACCCAGAGGTAAGAGACGCGTACCCTAGCGGTGGTGTCATGAATTTGGCACTTTCGATTCTCTTACAACGTTGAGTTTGGCCGATTTCTGGCGTCCAAAGGTGTTTTTTCGTTCTTTAGCACCACATAGAATTGAAAAAGCTCGACCCACGTGCCATAAGTAGTGCTATGCTCAATCAGGTGAGCTTGTACTACCCAAAATGAGGGCGCTACAGTTTGTTCAAAGCTTCAGCGCAGGAGGCCTATAGTCAAAGCCGCGACGTGAAACGTTGGCTAAGAAATTCGTAGGAGACGCCACGGGGCGAGAATTATTAGAGTAACTAAATGGCGGGAGCAGAGCATCACCTTCCTTTTCCTTTCGCCGCAAAGATCTCATTGGCAGACAAGGGGTCACATTCGTCAAATTTGACTGCGGCGTTTGCGCGGAAGGGACCTTGCGAATTGCCAGGTTTGACGCGGGACATATGTTTCGCTCTGCGTTCGCGAAATGTAATCTTACACTGAATGTCTGACAAGCAGGAAGCTTCTTGCTTCCTGCTTGTCAGAAGCTGTCTGCTTGTATGTGTACAAGCAGACGACACGACAACCCACTAGGCAGCGCGCACGCGCACTTTCTTTCGAAGGACACGGGAGACGCCCGGCAGCGCATGCTCGGTGAGCTGCCACTTCGTGTCGTGCGCGTCGCGACTCCTGCAAAAGCGACGGTTGCTTCCTCCGCGACACTTGGAGTCAACAATAGCAGACCGTTGCGATATTCTACTCCACAAACGGAGCACGTACAGCAAAGGTTGGTTCACAGACTTGCGGAAGTCCAAGCGAGTGCGACTGCAACGGCTTGCGACGTGACGGGCCTTAAGAAATGTCCTCCTTGCACACGGCTTCAAACCGAAACTGAGCCGGCGAAGCTTACCCGTGAGGCCAGTCTTACCGCTCTGCTGTTCCGGCGCACTGGTGACGTCACCAGCGGCACCGATACGTGGGTTGCGGAGTCGGCGCAGTACGGAAAAATCGACATCACTGACGACAAGGATGACATTTCTCGGCACTCGGCGCACTCTACGAATTCGTTAATCAATGCTTCACGTTAGGGCTAGTCTTCAATGAGGTCGAGCGCCACTTCTTAAGCTATATATCAGGCCCCCAAAACAGAAAATCTAACAAAAGTTGGTAAAAGCTTTTTAGTTAATTAGATACGTAATTATCAAATTTCATCTTCTGTTATGACCTCCAAGGCTCTTTAACTATTCCCCAACTAGAAACGAAAAAAAAAAACACGCAAACAAACAAACAAACAAAGCAAGTTCCTTGAAATCGTATGATCCTTATAAGAAATAAAATACAACGAAAACACCATGTACACACGTAACCTCTCCGAACCGTGGCATATAATATTTATAAATGTACTAACCCTAAATTACAAAAAATAAATAAATAAATAAATATATATATATATATATATATATATATATATTGTATTTTTTTTTTTTAAATTTTACGTTCAGTTGCAGCGGACACTCTGAGCCGACCTAGACAATCTAGCTTTGTCAACGTTACTCGTGACTGCACTTTTTTGCGCGTCGCGGCGCTTCTATACAGGAAGCTGCATAATTTAAGCCATGGGGGTCTCAAGCAGCACCTTGTCTGTGTGTATAATCTTCCTCTTTCGCTGGTCCGTCGTGTTTCTTTGCGCTGTATTCTCGTTCCAATGTCTCAAACTCATTCGAATGTGGGGGCCGGATAAGCGGCGGGGCCAATATTTGGGTAATTTAGGACAAAGAAACCAGACCAAACCAAGCAGAAATGGTGTTTCACGTTGCAAAGCAGTCGATTCTACAAACGACCTAGAGATTTTCAATATCTCGCTGCTTTTTGTAAGCTCGCTGTTTTTGAGTGACATCTTTAGCCTTGATTTGCATGTACCTCTGCTTTGGGCCCGCACCTGATGTAATAAGCAGAAATAAAACGTCAACGTGCTGGCAGTTATCAATAGGAGAGCAGCAATCATTGTATTTGCCCTGCCACACTACTCACAAGTGTCACCAGTAATGGAAATACATCTTTTTGAGGCAGTTTTTGCTTCCCCAACGATTTTGATGTATAATTATAAGAAAAGACATTTGGTCTAAAGGTATCTTTTGACGGGCAGAAGCCCAAGCTGAAAGCATTTCTTTGGCAGTCGCTCTTGCTGAGCGAAAGTTAATGTAGCGGAGGTTCCTTTTCGAGCAATGCTCGCGCTTAAAGCCTGGTAGTGATATTGTTGTTCCGGTTGATTTACGTGTGAAAGCAAATAGCAAATATTTAGCCGAGGCGATTCCCAGTCCAAAAGGAAACATAACAGTGCACAATGTGTCAACACGTTAGAAGGGAAGAGTTCTTTTTCGAGCGGTAAGGAATTGACGATATGAACTTATTATTTATGGCACTTTATGGCCTCCAGATATGAGAACGGGTGATAGCAGCAACGGGATGCTTGCGGGCCGCTTCTCAGAGAGTGGCGGGCCGCATGCGGCCCGCCGGGCGCATGTTTGAGGTCTATTGTCTAAGCAATGCGGAACCCGCCAATGTTTTGCGTCCTCAGTTCAAGCTCCGAATCCAGGACATCTGGAAAGAGGAATTTACGGATCACTTCCTTCTTCGATGGCTCAGAGGTAAGACATGATGTCGTGATGACGCAATTACGGTATAAGGCCACGCGTACCCTCGTTCCAAATATCTCAAATTATCGGACGCTTTGCAAGGGGTTTTCAGAACATAGCTTGTAGTAAATCTCAAAGCTGTGGTAATCTGATCCAAAACATTAAAATGTAACTGGACAATTTTCAAAGATTTAGTTGATCAAAAATATCTGGGAGCCGGAAGCAATCTTGAGGCCTCCAGACATAACGCTTAATATAACACAACCGTCTCATGTTGTTGGATGGGCAGCTCCACTAAAAACTTTTAAAACACAAACTCATGAAATAAAATAAGCCTAAAACAATATGGCTTTACTCCAAATAGCTTGCTCAAATGTAACAATATCCCACGACTCTCAAAAAAAAAATAAACTGGGGAATTAACATCTTCAATAAAACGTTTTTCCAATCAATTTTCGCAACATCATTATGTGCTTCCATGTGCTTTGAACTTTTGTATGGGTCACAGATGAAAACTTTGTCAACACTCACAATTCTTTTCAAATAAATAAATAAATGCATTATCATGAAAATTTACCAAATAACCATAAGTGTCCGAATCGAAAACGGTCATCCTAAAGAGATAACAAAATCATGATTTAGATTACTGAAGTTACGCAGCATTGAGAGATTCGTGGTATATGTGTCTACCTGTGTCTTTTCTAGGATTATTTTTGCCTAGAACAACGTACCTAGAGGAATATTTTCATTGAGTGCTTACATCAGCAGTTGTTTGTCTCCACGTTTCTTTGTCTATCACAGCTCGGGAGTTCGACGTCAACAAGGCGGAGTATATGCTGCGCCAGGTAAGCATTAAGGCGATTTGATGCAGATTCACACTACCTTAAATTTTTTGAGAGGATTGAGCCATGACTACAAGACTTGCGAGTCCAATATAATATGAGCTGGAGCATTGCCCTGCTTGGGTTACGTGTCCCGGATAAATAGTGTTAACTTGTCCAGCCATCAACATCTTCGATATATTTAAGCTAATGCTTAATACTCATTAAAAAAAAACCCAAAAAACAAACAGAAGGGGTATGGCGCTTAAAGGTGGAGCTACTTTTATCTTATCTACTGATTTAATCTTTTTGAGCTTACTGTACTACTTTACATCGTAATAAACATATCCAAGGTGCTTGCAAAGTCAACAGAGCCTAGAGCAAGCAAAGCTGGATAACAGCCTCCTCTAGTTCGAGCTGACGTTTTCACTCGGATCGCGACTACTCGGCGATTGGGCCCGGACCCGACTCCGTGCGTCCTTCAAATCATTGATTGAACACGAAACCCAGAAAGATGCTGAGGCAGCACTCGTGTCAAATTTTTGTCTGTGCTCGAAGTCACTGTGATTTGGTTTAAATGTTGCTGCACGGACTCTGATTGGACCTCGGTGGTGTTGGTGAAATGCACATTCCTGGTTAACTTAGAAAAACACGGAGCCGTGAAAAAAAAAAAAAAGAAATCATAAAGCCGCTTTGCTTAGAACAGGATTGTGATGATGACTACACTTGTACATTAAAGGAACACTGAATTGAAACTTAGAACGTATACCTCTAACGTTCAGAAATAAATTGAACATGATCAACTCTATCTGATAATGGTAGTCGCACGCTTGTATATTGAACCGGTGGCTATATTTTTCGTTCCAAACTTCCGATTCTAGAGAGCGCTCGAAGATTAGCTGTCGGCGAGCGGAAGGCATCACGGGAGCTGGACCAATTGACGCCACGGACGTGACGTCAATTGAACTAGCACGGGCAAAGCTGCTTGGGGGCTGGCATGGTTATGACAAATACTTTGAGCTACTTGGCGTCGTCAACGCATTACAACCTGGCCGTTTTCAGTTGCCCCTCCCTGCTCCCCGCAAGAGATGTATAGGCCGGGAGAGAAGGAAAATCTGGTTCGACTGGGGCTCGTACGTACGCTATTTGCCGCCGTACTTGCGCGGAGTGGGGCTGGTTTTAGTCAAAGTTTTTAGATAATCGTAGCTGTGGAATTATCGCGGAAAGGGGTACTCCCCCCCCCCCCCCTGACTCACTTCATACCGCCTCCCTTCGTTTGAAGCGCCACCTAGATTTTCATTGCAAAACTGTGTGTTGTATAGAGTACGATGGAACGCCATCTAGACGCTGTGCTTCCAAACCTACGTGTTCCATAGAATAAACTGCAGTTACTATAGCAGCCGTCCGGTCCGTCGAATGACGGGAGGCCAGTCGTGGTGAGTGAGGGAAGGGGGGTGGGTTATTGCTCGTGCAAGCAGCGTCTATGTGCAGTTTCGTAACTTAGCTAATCTAATAACGTTAATTTTAATGCATCGGGACGTAACAACATTCGGGTCATTCCTTTTAAGTAATGTTTTGGTGTCTTTTCGACCAAAAACTTCGTATCTCCGTGATGTTGCCAGAACGTGGTTGACATCTAGACAACAAAAAATAGGCGCTAGAAATTTGTTGCAGTATCCCTTTAAGGCGCCCCAGCAATAGCTATTTAAGTAAGGAAAGCATTAAAGACTAACACGTGTATAGAGAGTCAACTCGTCGAGTGCCAACAAGAGTTTTATAATGAAGCAATATGTTTTTGCCCATGTGCACTAACTAATACTTAGTCTTATAATCTCCCTATCTAACAAATCGAGAAGTATGTGAAACATAAGCAGAGAAAGCATGCATGGATGACGAGGAGAATACAATATACTGAACGTGTTGTGATGTTCGAGGTAGAGACGTAGATGCACACTTTTGTAATCTGTGGTTTGAGGCGTTAGAGGTCTTGGTATGCTTTGGCGTACACCCCAGAGGCCTTCAGGCTTGGCCGAATTCAGACCAAGGCGTCGCTTTTTCGAATAAGGACGCAAGCTTCTTTTATTTCTCATTTCAGCTCTGCTCTAAAAGCGTTATTATTTTTTATTGTTAAATCTTCTAATCAACTTTAGCACGCGTGCATAGTGTATTTTTTATTAATGAACTCTTCGACGCGTGGGTGAATTTTGTCCCGTTTTCTTTTCAGAACCAAATCTGGCGCCGTGAGAACAACATCGACGCAGTCTTGGAGACGTACCAGTGGCCACAGGTGACTTCGGCATTGATTCTTATTTTTCCACATTGACACATTGTGCACGTTGGTGCAATATAAACTTGATAAAAATGTAGGCTATAGCTCTCATATATGCATTGAGGTTTGGAGCCAAACAAAACAAATTGGCGAACTTTGCTATTTTAGAAGTGGGCTTATGACAAATGCGATAGCAGCATCCACAACGTATATCAACATTGTATAGCGCGGTAATGGCCGCAATGCCTCGACTGCGCATATTTCAACTTAAAAAAGTGGCTGAATAAAGTTTTCAGTTGCAAGGGTGTTTGCAGGCAGTCCATTAACTAAGACGGTACTAATAAGTGAAGAAATCTCGGCTAATTCAAACTTTTTCTTTATTTGATGGCACTTGCAAATACAGCGCAATAAAAGATTCTATACGTAAACTAATTACAATAAGCTTATAGTGTGCCAGACGTGTCGATTTAAACCTAAGGAAATCAAAAACGCTATTAGAAAAATAATTTATTTGAGGTATCACGTCACCCAAGCATTAAATACTTCATCAAAATGAACTGAAAAAAAAGAAATTGGTGCCCGCACATGGTATAGCTGCAAGAATTCACAGATCAAGCGAAAATATTTAGTGCTTTGTTTATTGTTTAATGTTACTAAGCGCCAATTGATACGTTAATCATACAAAGTTGGAATGCCCCCCCACCCCCCCCGCCCAGGTATATACAATTGTAAACGTAATTTACAAACATTGCAGTTCATCTATGTGCTTCAGCGCAGCGTTCTTGATTTTAAGTAGTTTCTGGTCATTTTAAAAGGAATAGAGATGTATTCCTTATTTCACAATGTAGAAACGATTTGTAACACTACGTGCTTTACCCTAATTTGATTTTTCTAGTTAATGACGCCGAGTTTTACGGCTCGCTTACTTGTACCGCTGTACACATGTTTGAACAATACAGTTTATGGTGGGCACGACTTTCTCGACTACTACAGTCCTCACTGCTTTAAACGTTTTGCTGCAACTGCAATGCATGCTGTGACTCCAAGTATTACTTTAAATGGTTTTAAAAAGAAAGAAACATTTCAAGCGTTCCATTGCGGTTGCAGCTGGAGCGGTTGGTGGGTAGTATATAGGGTTCGCCCAGAGGATATTACGCTGTAAAACTATCCGGAAAAATTGGCGCCTGGACATAGAAAGCTCAAAATTTCACCGAAGGTGCACTGAGGGTGTGAATTCTAGATTGTAAACCTTTATTTGCACAAAAATAAATGATGCCAAACAACTAGCTGAAGTCCACGGCAGGCATGTTAACAAACGACAGAGTTAGCGATGTGTCAACTCCCCCAAATAGGTGCGGCGAGCAGACAACAGAGTATGTCGTCTGCTCGCTGCGCGTATTGGGTGATGGAACCGTGGGTTACATCATTGCTAACTTGATCGTCTGCCAGCACGCCTGCTGTTGACTTTCGGAAATTTGCTGATGTAAATTTTCACAGAAAGAGGACATCGTCTTTAAATTTCACAAGGTATTATGCACCACCTCAATGTACATTTGGTGAACGTTTGAGCTCTCTATGGACAGGCACCAATGTTTCCGGCTCGTTTTACGGCGTAAGATTTAAGGGCACACCTTATATGTGCAGAATGGCCTCGGAGCTCCACACTTGCATTTTAATTTCACAAAAAGAGAGATAGGTATTCTACAAAACCTGAAGTAATCCACGTTTTCACAGGTGTTGAAAACGTACTTCCCGGGAGGGATGTGCAACCACGATAGAAGCGGCCGGCCCGTCTGGATCATGCGCTTTGGGAATGCTGACTATAAAGGTGACCCAAAATAGTCACCTTTCGACTAACAAAATATTCAAAAAAAGAAAAAAACGCGCGTCCCTTCGAGACATTTGGCTCTTGCGCATTCTCTCGGCTATTTTCTGTAAACAAAGAAAAAAAATGAATTTCAACCAAACTTCAGAGATAGTTATTTTCAACGGTAAAATTATAGACGGTGATAAAACAATATTTTAAATACTTTCTGAGAACTAAAGATCTATATACTTTTTATTTCTAGGCCCCACGTGCATATATTTTTTTTTGTATTATGTTTTATGGACTACCTTTGCAATATATTGAATGTTGGTCCTGCAAATGAAAAATCTTTTTGTTTCCAAGATTGTAATACCTATCTCTTCAGAGATAGGTATTAGGTATTCGTATCTTCAGAGTCATAAACTGCCTCTAGAATAAAATGTAATCAAAAACGTGATTGCTACTATGATACCTTTTTCTTTCTCAGGCAAAATGCAATGCTCCGCAATGTGGCATTCAAATCTTCAAGTTAACGAATGTTCACGAATAATTAATTGGGGAAGAGGCTTCTCTATACGCGTTTTATGCTGCGTCATGCAACGGTGCGTAGTCGGTTGCATCTTGCGTAGGGTATTTCCAGTTATTGGGTGTCATGGGACCAAGAAATTAGTAAATGTCCTAAAACTTCCAGCGAAAAATTTATGGTAGGTACTCAGAATTCGCAGCATATAACTGAAAAAATAAACACCATAATTTAAATGTCTCTACGAGACAAATATAAAACGCTTTTGCTTTATAAATAGATGGATATGTATACGTATAAGGTGTCCAAATCGTAGCCGTCAATTTTCTAATCAACTAACACGAATTATTAATCGCGCTGATTCCAGTAGTAGGCGTATGTGTTTACATAACGGAACACTTCAAGGCAGCCGAATTCCAAGACCATTTCATTTTGTAGAATTCTCGTAGCCAGCCTGCGCTCCGAGATACCCTTCTGAAAATTCACCACTCAATCCGGCTAATTACGTGTTCAAAGCCGTGACGATCAACGTTAGAGCCCTCTGAAGGTGACGTTCACAAACCTTGTTATGTCGTAGTCAGTATCGTTATTAGGGTGAAGAATTAAGTCGAGTTTTTTCCGGTGATATCTTTTGGAGGGGTGAAATCGGTAAAAATTTCCGATAAAGTCTTGTGGACGCTCTCACAAGATTATATACAATCACTGAGAAGTCAATAAACGCAGAGAGTGGTTTATTATGTTCACGCGTCTTGTTCTGTGATTTGTTCCTCGGCGTTCTTATCAGTTGACGCTGAAATCTTATTGGCAGAGGAGCAATAAGAAAATACTCAAGAATCGCCACGCCTTGCGGTTCTTAAAAGTGCACACACAAAACAGTTTTTTTAATGGCAAAGATGAGACACGTAATTTTTAAAAATAATGTGTCCACAAAATTTTTTTTTTTTTTTGCGTTGTTAGACGTAATTTAGGTGCAGAAGGTGAAGTTCACGGCCCCGCTAAGTCCCCCCCCCCCCCCCCCCCCCCTTGCTTACAAGGTGCTTACATTCCTCATTGACTGGAGAGATGCTTGACGCGTGCGAAAGGTTAATTTCAAATTGGCACCTCCGTGCCGTAACAGTATTTTAATCGACTACGTTTTATGTTTGTCAAGGAAATAATCAAGATAGGGTTGTTATTGTTTTCAAATGTATTCTGAAATTTATTGTCCCATGTTGACAAACATGGTGCGTCTGCGGAGTGCTGAACGAGCGAAGATCGTTGAGCTTGTCAATTGTTATGAGTGCGAATGGTTTTGACTTCACACAGGTGTTTTGAAAAAAAGAAAAATCTTCTCAACCGACGGAGTTTGCAGCAAACTTCCGCAAGTACGCGCCTTTGGAAGCGCTGTGCCGATGCTTGTTTTTGTATCGGGGCTGGCCTAAGCCTAGCTTTAGGCCTCGTTGCTTTCTTTGCGCGTGTAGATGCTGAATGAAAATGTTGGTTCCCATAAAAGCGGTCCCGCTGCTCTGTGAATTATGCAACCGTCGTGATTGCGACCATGGCTTGATGCCGAGAAGGTACCTACAGAGGTAAACATTTGCGAGCCATTTGGTTAGAGGCAATCGGGCGTTCGGCTCGCATAAAAGTTTTCTAGGTATGTTCGCGTCATTGCTCCTCGAAAGGCAAGGTTTTAAGTTTTGCAGTGCGCCTGGCCTACCAAAGCGAATATTTTTACGTCGCATTTTAATTGTGCGTCATGACGCTTAGCCACATTGTTCGCAAATGCCACGTTGAAAAAAAAAAAAGAAAATTAAGAAAACAAAACAAAACAAGAGGAGTAAAGCTAGAAAGACGGCATATTTATTATGTTGATTTTTTATTTTCTTTTTAGTTTTCTCTCGATTGCTTATTTCGCACATCCATAGACGCTGACAGACGCTTGTATTGGACCGTGGCTTGTGCATGATGTAACACTAGACGGCCGCTTTCATGGTAGTGGTTTCTGAGCGTTGAAAGTTTTTAGACGGCGGATGAATATCAGAAAGACGGAGGCGAAAACGGTCGCCGACGCGCAGCTTTTGTGTCCGCGTCTCACGGCATTGCAGGCGACGAGAGACTGCGGTGAAATAGCAGACGATGCCGGAGACTGCGGCTCATCTGCTCGCATGGCTAGGAGTCGGTGTTAGACTTCCAGGCTAGACGCACCGGATGACGCGAAAGGGGAGACCCTACTCTTGTTAGCCTGTTCGGTTGAGCAGCCAAGCCAGTTCAGTAGCAATGGGCGGGGCCACTGATTTGTGGCTGGTGCTTAAAGCGGGCTGTGACCTCCATTTAAATTGCTTTTAACGGCATAAGTATTACACAATTTTTTTTTTTGTGGAAAAAAATATTTAAATATATGTGCCCCATCTACGCCCTTTAAAAATAAACTTCTTGCAGTATTTCTTTACGCTGCCAGTGACTATATGTCAAAATGTGCAATTTTCAATAATAATAATAATAAAACATACACGAACTGTATTGCCTCGACAAAGAGTGCTGAACATGAAATATGTGATATGCTTTAAAATCTCGGCGTTCATCTGCGGGGTCCTTGGTAAATGCCCCTCCTGACGCCTGCTGCCGCTTCTTACTTTCCCGCAAAGCTCGAAAGCGTACGTTCTGCGGCCGTCTGCTTCATGGAAGCCACGGTTATGGTGAAAAACAAGGGTGCCTGAACAGCACCGCCTACCTCGGAATCGCTGACATATCTGACACATACCCTGAGATGGCTCAGCATGACAAGAAAGGCCACCGAGCGCGCGACCTTGCCTTCGCTACGAACCACCCACCTGTATAGACATTTTCCGCTTACTCTCGCCCCCGACCGCCATGTAGGCATATCCGGTATTGGCGACGAAAAATTATCAGGACATTTCAACCTGCAAATAGTAAAAAAATAAAGGGGAGGCAAAACGAGAATGTGTGACGTTTACGTTCTATGTCCTAAATGCCTTCTATTAGCGTGGCGACGGCAAAACAATGTTTTCGCCCATACTGGAAGTGACGACACTTCAAGATGTCGACGCCCTTGCGAAAAACGTCTATAGCTCAGCCGGTAAAGCACTTGGCTCGCACTCTCTGGGTAGCGAGTTCAAACCTTGCCGGGGAGAGAAGTACAGGATGTCCCCGAAAAGAATTTACAGTGTTTATTTCACCACAAAAATATACTACGCATCGCCGAAGGCTCATTCTCCGCCCAAAGGTAGAGCTAGAGGTCTGAGTTGGATGCCAAATTTTCAGCCTGAACCGATGTCTTTTTCAAAAGTTAAAAGTGATTTTCTGAAAATTTAATTAGGAAAATGACGGCCGACGGAGCTTTCAAATACATGGAGCACTATGGCGCCAGAAACCGAAAACGGGCGAAAATGGGTCCCATTCTTTCATTGAAATTTTCAGAAAATCACTTATAAACTTTGAGTAAGACATCGGTTCGGGCTGAAACTTTATTAGTTGGTTCGGACGTCTAGCACTTCCTTCGAGCGGAAAATGAGCGTTCGGCGACGCGTAATTGATTTTTGCGGCAAAAAAAAAAAAAAAGAACAAAAAACGAATTTGTAGACTTCTTTTGGAGACACCCTGTACTTTTATATAGGTTCCTATGAGCGTAACGATTCTCGGCGTGGTTTATTTTACAGCCGGACGTGACAACAAAACTTTACAGATCTCAATGAAAATCGGCTGATAAAGCACATTCTTTGTAAAAAAAGACGTTTGATGCGCTATTTATTTAGAGCAGCTCAATCGATTTACTCGTACTTAATGAGACAGCCTACGTTTCCCATTTAGTACATTGTAGCATAAAGATCAAGTTGCGTTTTGTGTGCATATGTGTCCACATCTCTCTGCAGAGTTCGTTTAGACTAGCACGATTTAGACGAGAAGTATAGCATTTTTCGTTTTGCAGAAATGCGATAAATACGCTGTTTAGAAGAAATTGAAGCATTTTTCTTTCTAAATGCAGGGATGCTGGAGTGCGTGCCAATGAAGGAGATGTTCAAAGTGTGCTACTATCAGATTGAACAGATTTTTGCAGACATGAAAATGCAGAGCAAAGTGGTGAGGATTCGGACCTTGGGGCGAGTCTGCTTAGGCGTTGTTTTAACATAGTAGAAAGCCACAGATGAAGAGGGGGAATGAGAACCGGGTGATCCAAGCACCACAAAATTACAAACCCAATGCGTGACAAAATAAAACTTACCCTCTTCCTTAATAATTTTTTGAACAGCTAAAACTGAGAACAGGTAACGCTCTCGCAAACGAATTGCTAAATTTTCTTTATAACTTTGGCGGTGAGCAATAGAAATATAGGTTACCTGCACAAGTATCGGTATACAGCGCAAGACATAGATAAAAAATTAATTTAACTGAAGAGAGTGTTGGTTTCTGTGGTCAGTCATAGATAGAGATGATATGGGAAAAAATAGAAAAAATAAAGTACTGAAAGTCATGAACGAACCTTGCAGTTTTCAATATTCATGCACAGAGAGACTAGGGCCGCCTACACGTTCAGCAGTTCATGCGGCTAGATTAGTTTCACCGTCTCCTAGCATCTTGTGCGATTTGATTTATAAAAGGCTAATAATTAGTGAGGCTGGCTACACAAATTCAGGTGGCGTTGTTTTCTAACGAACATATAGCCGCATGCGTGGTTGGAGTTGGCGGCCCACGTGGCGGTCGCGCAGGGGGCATGGGGTTCGAATACCGCCACCCTAGCTTTGATTTTTAACAATATTTGCCCTTTCGAAAATTTAAAATGTTTTGTCCTGTCAGCTATTGTGTGTTTTGGTTTAGAAGCTTCCTAAAAAAATAGGGTACGTATAGAAGCAGTGGTAGCGTGCTGCAGCACCAGTCAATCTTTAGCTAGCGGTCGACCCTTCTGTTACGCTGACATCGACGCCCAAGTTATTTTCAGTGTTTTGTCAAGAGTTTGCACATTAATGCTTCCGTTTCTCAGCTTAACGCTGCCTCGTCATCTGTTATTCGTGAGACTACCAGTGTTGCAGGTGGGTTAGATAGGGGGCTCACACCGAGAACCTTTTGTTTTGCACTCCAGCTGGGAAAAAACGTGGAGACCGTGACCATTCTGTGCGACTATGATAACTTCAGCTTGAACCAGGTGTACAGCTTCCAAGGTATAGCCTCTGTAGACCCATTGCAAATTTGTTGGTTTTATATATTGCCAGTCTCCGATGAGATCTGAATGCCTTTTTACCAGCCATCGAATTCCTGAGGGAGATGGCTGCTCAGTACGAGGCCAACTATCCTGAGATGCTCGAGCGATGTTTCTTCATCAACAGTAAGATGACGGTGGCTTATTTATAACTGCTTGGTTTTACAAGGAGCACTGGGATAGTGTTAAAGACTGAGAGAAGCGCGTCAACGCATAACCTAGGCACTCACCTTGCAGTGAATGAAGCTATCAAGGTGTCATTACATTCTTGGCACTTATATGCGGAACAGTAATTATGAATGAATAAAACTGTGCATAGAGTTCATCTTATTAAAGTTGGCGTGTTAACAATAGCAATATTGTTTTTCGAAAAAATAAATCATGGGTGAACCGTAAATAGCTTTTTAATATTAGCATCATGGACTATACCTTCTCTAACCCACCCTTTCTACAGCAAGTGGGAGTCTGAACATTTGAGACCTTACATACTTTGGAAGGAACCTAACTATTGAGTGTTATATCTACATCTATAAATATCCACGTTGTGGTTATCCTAAACCAACGAAGGACTCAATTTTGCGAAGTAAAGAAAGTAAAATTCACAAAAAGTAGTGGACGAAGACAGGTTATTTCTGGCAGTTTTGCCGCCATGGTGAGGGCTCGAGGTTTTTCCTTAAAAGTACTTTGCTTCCGGAGAGAACATCTTTTGGCCGCAGCTCATACTAGGTTGTTCTGGTATAATGACTAGAATAGAAAGATGCTACATGTTTAGCTCTGTTATGTAAAATACATCTCTAGCACATACGTGTTTTTGAAAAGATGAACATGTACATAACCTTGATATAACGATAAAAACCACATAAGGAATAAAATGCTACTCCACAATTTTTTGTGCTCATTTACCCTCATATTGGTTTGAGTGCTGTGATTACAAGAAAAGCAATAGTGCCGCATTCACTTCTCATATTTACACTTAAAAGAAATTGTAAATTTTATCAGCGCCATGAGCCATCCTGCAACCCGCACATTTCTTAATATATTTTAAGAAGTTTTTATACTTGTTTTTAACACTATTTGCTATTCAAAGTTTTAGAAACCTAAACACGATATATTGCAATGTACAATTGCAATGCATAACACGATATATTCCATGATCTGGAAGTGTTGTATGGCAACAGTTGCAGATCAATATATGGTTTTTGGTAGTAGTGATCCAAGTGTTCCTGACGAACTTAATTCTTAAAGCATGAGGCAGTTTTTTATTTATTATTTAGACTAGGATCACACTCAACAATCTGCCTCCTTCCGAGCATTTAGAGAACTCCTTATTGGGCCGATAGCTAATAGCACAAGACTTCCATTTAACCTAATATAGGGCATCAAAAGGTGGCTTCAAACTTGAGGACAAAAACAAATTAATTAGCCATAAGAGAGAAACTCATATGGAGAAGGAAATGTTTCGATGGAAAACGGAAGGAAACAACTTCATGATGTTTAATTTTGTTTCTAACGTTTCTTTTCCAGCCCCCAGCTTCTTTCCGATCTTCTGGAAGCTCTTTCGGACGTTTGTGTCCGAGAAAACGGCAACTAAGGTTGAAGTGTTCCCAAGAGGTATGACCAGTTTCTTTTCGACACTACTCTCTAATTTGATCTCGGAGAACAGTAAGTCTGTGTGTGAATTTGAGCGTATATAATCAAAATATGATTGGAGTATAAACTAAAAATATGATCACCTGTCAGAAGGAGTGGTTTTGGTTTGAGCCGAGCGGGTATACCGTGATGAGGCGGTGATAGTACAATTTTATTTCGGCCCGCAACGTTGTTCTCCCCTTTATTTCTCGACCTGCATATGTGCGGATATCCGTCAAGAAAATGATCACACGTTTCCAAAACTCTCTTCAATAGTGGAGTTCTATGTGGAGCCTCACCTTAGCACCATGAAAGCTCCAGTGCGTGTACTTTCCTACAAAGCATTTGGGAGAACCAATCGCTGCAATCTGCAAGGAGAGGGGAGCTCGGCGAATGACGAGGCTGAAGATAAGTTTAGACCTAAAACATCTACCCTGTGACTCAGAACACGGCGTTTCACGAGCTTATGGCATGCTCGTGCCACTTCACAGCATAGAGGTAGGAAGGTGGCGTCATGACGCCACCGGAGCTGAAGCCAGAAGTGGGGAGAACATGCCCCCAACGATGACCAAAACCACTGCTGTTTTTATCACCCTTGAGTGCCACATTTGGTGGCGTCATGTCACCCCCAGAAGCTTCCTACTTCCATGCTTCACAGGCTGCTTTTTGTGGGTCTAAACCGGTCTAAACCTATTTCCAACCCTGTCATTGGACGAGCATTTTCCTTAGATTTCAGAATTTGACCCTCCGAAGGGATTTGCGGGTTAGTAGGCGCACCACATTTTTTAAGGGTTTACAAGGACACCATACTCCCCGTTATCCTTAGCTGTTAACAAAGGCATGTATACGCGGTAAACTATGCGCGATCAGGCTGCTTTAATTAGTGCGCACCTACCATGCTTTCGTTTTGCCGATTTTTGGTTTTTATTAAATGCTGCAGAAGTCTGGAAGTCGGCATTGCTCAAGTACGTAGACCCTTCCCAGCTTCCAGTTCACTGGGGAGGGGAGGCTCGCGGACCGAATGGCGACCTTGAGTGTTCCAACAAGGCAAGACAGTCTTTCTCATTATTGTGAACGAGATGCTTTGGTGGCGCCACTTTGCGAGCAGTGCTGGTAGGATGCGAGCAGACAATGGACTATGTCAAAGCACGGACTGGCTATGTTAGTTCGCATCTATGCCGATTACAAACGGTTCATTTAATAAAAGAACACCTATGATGTTTCTTTGAGTGATATATGTTATGAACAACAGCGCCTCGAAATTGCTTTTTATATATTAATAAAAAACAAAAAAAACTTTCAAATGTTAACAAACAAGCACGGTGCTTCACATTACAGCTTGCGCAGCGTGCGTCCGGGCTATTCACAGCCTCTCTAATTCTTGTTTTTTCGGATCTGTGGAGGCCGCTGTAGAGAGAGGTTTTGCATTCACCAGAGGAAATGAATTGCTGTATTCTTAGCTGTGCACACGCGCACGGTTCTGTTGCAATGCGCCGCACATTTGTTTTAGCTACATTCAGCTTGCCGGTAAAGACTCTTCTATTCAAGTGTGACTTGACAGTTGCTGACTAACTAACGCTTAGATCCTCCCGTTTCAATACTCCTCGCAAGTGGGCTCATTTTCGTCTTCGGTGCATGAGAAAGGAAGTAGCGGTGACGTCAGAACGCCGAGCCCTGATAGGCTGATCGCGACCCCCTATCTGAGCGTCGTCTGCTCCTTCGCAACGTCGTCAGCTCGCAACGTCGTCTGCGTCTGTCTTACCTTTCCCGCGGCTTTTGAAAGTCGAGCGAGCTCGACTTCGCGGTTCAGAGAGGGCAGATGAAATAACTCGAGTGGTACATTGTTTTTGTCTAACAACTAGCAGACGCGCATCAAGGAGGGAAGTCAAGGGACTCACTGGCGAGGTGTCCCGAGGCACCGAGGTTTGTTTGCTAAGAACCGAGAGGTGAAGGTGGTTAGTTTTCGCAAGTTCACTCCCAAATACTTTTTCCCCCCTTTCGTGTGCGGCGAGACTCCTCACTCTTTGACGGCGTCGGCGGGTTGGCGCAGTTAACATCGTCTGCTTTACGTCTGCTAGTCAAAGCGATCGCTGCTTTACCTTTCCTGCGTCTGTCGGAGATTCACAGCTTTTTTACCGGCGAAAGTCACCGTTGCCTTGGAAAACAAGGAGATGACAAGAGGAAGAGATCGACCTCTTAATTTAAACTTGAGGTCAGCGATCAAAGTATAAGACGGGAAGGGTTCACAAAGGTCGCACGGGCATATTCCATTCAGCACGCCAGCCGGTCGTGGGCAGACAGTCGCCGAGTCGGAGTGCCTGCTAGGCCTATCTGCAGTGCTCGCTTGGTCGTTGTCGGTGGAATCGTGGCCGTTGGAGCTTTTCCCGGGTGCTTGTGGATCCAGCGTTCTTGCTCGTCGTGGTTTATTTCAAGTAGTTTTTACTTTTTTTCTCGCTGCTTGTAGTCGGGACGCGTGAGAAGAGCCCGTACGAAAATAAACGTTCGTTGGTCGTCGCGACCAAGTAACTGAGCGACGCTGTCGGCCATGCTGATTTTATCGTAAGAAGTGCGTAAGACCGCTTCGGAGCTGTCGTAGGGTTTCCGTCGTAACCTGCGCAAAACGCACGATAATTTCTTTTCGTGAATACGAATTTGTCCTTAAAATTTGTCTTACGCACATTTTTGGCGTAAGATCGTTTCGTGAATCTGGCCTCTGCGCTTCCGAAAGTCGCAGGAAAGGTAAGACAGACGCAGACGACGTTGCGAGCAGACGACGTTGCAAAGGAGCAGTCGACGCTCAGATAGGGGGTCGCGATCAGCCAATCAGGGCTCGGCGTTCTGACGTCACCGCTACCCCCTGCGCAAGAAGCAGACGAACTTGCCCTCCGCATACGTGGCAAAGAAGTTTGCAATATCGCGGCTTCTGTTCGAATGAAAAGCAGAAATTTTCATAAATTCTTAAAGGGTTGGACATGGCCCGGCAAATTCAGGCGAATGATCAATTTGCTCTATCCAATATTTACTAAGAAATGTTCACTAATTTGAAAATTTGAAAATGCTCGCAGAGAAGCGCATTACGCATTATGCGCATTTGGGTCCGAAAAATTAAAGATACAAACGGTAGTAATTCACAGCAGGCGTATACCTCGTTTTTTAAGGCGCTGAAGTGTCACCGACTTACTAGATTAAGGACTTCGATCGCGAAGTGGTTTCGCACGTTTCGCGTCGACTGGGTGAAAAGCAGGGATTTAATTGAAAGGACACCTGAAACCAAGCACCGCTTCTTCCTGCCAGTTATTTTGAGTAAACGTTTACTGGTTTGCAAAATTAAAAAAAAAAAAGGAATCAATTTGGAACTAATAAGAGACCAGCACTCACAAAAGACATTGGAATTCAACAGGAAACGCGGAGTCGCTTTCACTGAAGTGTTTACTATACATGCAATAGGTTCCCGAATTTCGCCTTTTTTATTTTTAATTTGATGAGCTTTTTTTTTTTTCTCAGTTTTATATTGTCTGAATCGTAATAAAAATTAAAAACGTGTACAATTTTCTTTAACACCGAATTAGAGCGCAGCTCTTGAGAAGGAGGAGGGGAGGGTAGGGAAGGAGGGTATGCCCGTCTTTCTTTCCTACTGAATTTAGCTGGGAAATTTTGCTGCTAAATTTAGTTCTGAATTTGGTTGGAAAATTTCACCCTCGTGACATCAATGTTACGTCACGTGCGACGTCACACGTGTCGTCACACGTGATGTCACGAGGGTTAATTTAAAGGGAATATTTTATCGCAAACTATAGCTGAAAAGTTTCCCCGCTAATTTAAGCGGGAATATTGCAATGTTAGATGCGTGTGACGTCACGAGGTGACCTCGTGAAGGTAACCCTCGTGCCCCTCGTGAGGGCAACCCTCGTAACCTTTACGAGGGTAACCCTCGTGACGTCACACGTGAGTCACATGTGACGTCATTATGAGAAACGTCTCGTAATTCAACGTGCGCTTACGCCTACGGCGACACCGACGGCGATACCGCTGAAGCCGGAAACGGGCGCCTAAGGGCTGCTCTCTAACATACACCCTATTCACCGTGGTAGATGTTGTAATGGGGTAGAGCGCTGGATATTCTATTTTCATCATCCTGCTTTTAGAGCGCAGCTTTAAGGCGCCCGTTCCCGGGTTGAGCGGCGTTGCCGTCGCCGTCGGCGTTACTGCGCGTTGCATTATGGGACGTTTCCCATAATGACATCGCACGGGACATCACGTGGCATCACACGTGTCGCCGCTCAACCCAGGAAAACCTTTCCGCTAAACTTAGCAAGGCAATTTTCCCGCTAAATTTAAGAGGAAATTTAGCGACAAAATTTTCCGCCAATTTTTGCGGGAAAGTTTTACCCTCGTGACGTCACATGGGACGGCACATGTGACGTCGCGTGAATGAATGTGACGTACGTCACGTGAAATTTATCGGAAAAACCCTTCCGCCAAAGTTAGCGGAAAAATTTTCCCTCTAAGTTCAGCGGGGAAATTGACGTCATGTGGCCTCAACACCAATTTAGTTTCCCCGCTAAATTTAACGGGGAAATTTTCGCTAAATTTAGCGGGAAATTTAGTAAAAATATTTTGCTAGATGGGAGGGGAGGAGAAGGTACTCTCCACTCCGTACCCTAGCTTCCCTCCTCCTCCTCAAGAGTCGCGCTCTAATTTGACATTACAGAGAATTGTAAACGTCTCTAATTTGTTTTACTGGCGTAGACAACAGCAAATTACCCTCCCAGCGCTTTGACACCTTAGTGACAAAAATGTTTCTAACACGACTACGTGTTCCACGGTTTCAAGCTTTGGTAAAATGTTCTACTACAGAAATCACTCCACCAAATAAACACAACGCGTGCTTTACCGTGTGATACCCAAACAGCGCATGAAGTGAGCTGTCGGGCCGAGGGATCCAAAATCTACGTGGTCTCTCCCAGTCTGTCCTATCCGTGACGTCAGAAACGATGATGATAAAAGCTAGAGAAGCGCCCCCTGTAGCTTGCGCACTCCGCAAATAGAGGAACAACATTGGACAAGTCGCTAGGTCTGATTAGAGTCCCTGTATATTCTCGTAATACAGTAGATTTCAGCAGAGTGTCCAGTTTGATACCACCAGGGCGCGACATTCGTTCCACGTTTGGCTAGACAATGAACGAATAATGATATAAAAAATATGAAATCCTACTCCAGATGGCGTAATTATATTGACGCTGTAAAAAAAAGAAAGGCAAGTAGTCGAAAAAAAAATCATGCTGCTGTCATTGGGGAAGGTAGGTTGTGAGAGGAAAGCCGACGTCGTTCAACCCGTAGGCGACAAGCAAAAGAGCAAAACGCGTGCGTTCAAACAAGGTCGTGTACCGAGAACTGGCGTTTACTGCTCATCCACACGTGTTGTGTGATAAAGGTTTGTTTTGATATGAGCTTCTCAAAACAAGACGATCTTTTATCATTTGACACGCTCTGTCCAGTCACCGTACCATCTTGTAATGTCCCATCCCCGCTTCGCGGCCCCCTTCGAGCGCCCTAGGGCCAGGCCGCTCTCTTCCTTCCTAGAGAATAAGAAGGAACAAACATAAATGTGTAGAAGAGACGAAGTTGCGGTACGAAGGACGCCCTTAGAAGCAGTTTACCGTTGAGCTTGTTTAGCCTGTGGTTACTACTTCTTGCTTTGTAAGGTGAATTTTTATCATGAGCACTCGCTCTGCTGAAGCCCATTTTCAAGGCACGATCTCTTGACAAGGGTGCGACCAAGGTTTGGGGATAGTCAATGTCCAGGAGTCGAAATATATTGAAGTGGCAAGGTCCTTCCTGATATTTTTGGTATTGTAAGTTGAACAAGAACCGTTAGGCATAAAATAATCTTTGAATGAATACACTCGATGTTAAGGGATTTAATCAATTCGGAAACAGCGAAGACTACTCACACGACCTCAATGGCATGTAGATGGTGCGCTTGTAGACTCTGTCTAAATTTTATTGAAAACAAAGTACTTATGGTATGCTGTCAAGCACGAACTCTAGAGCAATTAGTAATCCAGCCACTGGGACACTAATAATAATAATAGTGCCTTTACGTTTCTAACAGAAACAATGTTGGAAAGGTGACTAGAGAAAACAGCTGTGAAAAACAGCTTGACGAGCCCCGAGCCACTTAAATCAGCAGGCGTGATTCAGGCACCAAAATAAATTATACAAAATTAAAAGATGACATGTGCAATTGATAACTTTAAGAACAAATTACAAAAGTGAACTAACGCTTACAAAAAGTAGCATATTGATGCAATTTTAAGAACAGTGAAAGCGTATACAGAAAGGTAGATTACCTCATTGAAATAAACGCGGAAGGAAACATCAGCTCAACAGAATTTAGCGCTTATGACGGACAATTTGGTTGAAATAAACATTTGAAATAAACATGTCCTGTAAGATGCTCACCGATATATTGCGAAGTTGAATCCCTGCAGACTATGCTATTTAAAAGTAGTTGCCAATGTATATTTTGTACTTTGGTGGCAATAATTCGTTTTAAAAGGGTACTTCCAAGCTTCTTTATTTCGTGTTGGGTATCCTAATATTTTATGCGGTATCTTCGATAAGTTTTAAGGTTATTTTGGGCTAAATTTGTTTCTATTTCATATCTTGCGCATAAACAATATTTATATAAATCAAAAAGTTTCATTACACCAAACTCACTAAAAAAATGAGATCAGCTGTTTCCACACTTTTTTTTTCAATCGTTACAGTAGACCCATGTTACAAATTTAGGGGAGCACAGGCTAAGAGGAAATTGGAAGAATAGGTCAAATACCGGTACCAGCAATTTATATTTTGTGAATTTAGAAAATTCAGTTGACGGAAAGTATTTTTTAAGAAGTAGTATGTACGCTAGTCTGGTTTACGGTTTTGTTAACAAGATACTTCGCCCACCACTCACATCAGTAGAAATATTAGAGAGTATAAGTGGCCGGTCTACATTTATAGTGCCCTAGGGTGATGGATATGAAAGTTATTCACACCTTTAGGTGATACACTTTGTTAGGGAAGCCTAGAGTAAATAGACACTTCAAACAACGCTACGTTTGGCTTCATGGACCAGCATTTTACTAGGCGTCACTGATCGTCGTGGTGGAGCGTCTTTAGCTATGTGAAACAGGACGGTGATATGGTGAAGGAGGATTTGGCATTTTCCTCACTTCTGTGTTTGCCACGTTTCCAGTAGGGATACTCAGCTGACGTCCAGAATTGTGATCACACGCATACTTCAAAATTGTGGTGCGACTGCCTTGTATGAAGATTGATAAAAACCTTTATATTATATTTGCTTTTAGGGCAGAGCCATAGCCGTCAGAACTTTGTGCTATCAGTACACAGGAATTATGCGACAGCTCTGCAGCTAATAACGCTGTCTTCCTCTGATTTCTACGCTGTAAGCGCCTTGTTATTAAAGCTGCTCGTATTTGTAGTTTTCTTCATTACCACGCTGACATACTTTAGTGATATACACCAACATACAAGTTAAAACGACTGAATCAGGCGCCAAACATAAATAAAATAACCCTTAACTCAAACGACACAATTAATAGTTTATCTAGTTACCAGAGGACTGTGCCTATCGATCCAGTAAAGTCGTCATGACGATAGCCAAACTAATCAACGACATTTGCAGGTCGGGCGCGGAGGCAAGGTTCCTGTGGAGCTGTATCTGAAGAACAGGCCGAAGGTCTGGGACGACCCCCGCTCCGTCACTTGCTCTCTCGAGAGGGGCGAGCATATCGAGATCCCCGTCCAAGTGGAGCGCAACGGTTGCATCCTCCGCTGGAAGTTCCAGACGGGTCCTGGCGACGACGTGGACTTCAGCGTCACGCGCGGGTCCACCGAAAGCGTGGTGGGGAAAGCGCAAGTCATACCGGTCACCAGGATCAAGTGTGACCTCGTGCCGGAGAAAGGGCAGCTGGAAAACCTCGAGAAAGGAGCATGTAAAGTCGGCTTCACTGTTCGTTCACGAAAACTGGGGTGACGCTTTTTGGAATTCAGTATTGCATACATTCTTGCTAGTGCAGTAAACGGACTTCAGTTCATTGCAACCCAGTTTAGTGACGAGGCAAAGTTTAAGCTTTGTTGCTCATGCCTGACCACTTCAGGAAAAACTAGCCCTGTCGAGTCTGCTCACCTAAACGACAGTTATTTTTGCCGTTTTACTCATTCAAACTACGCACTGGGGATCGGTCTTGTATGATCACTGGCAGCTTAGGAAACTCAGAACGTTGGGAGTCACATGCATCTAATCATTGCTCCACAGTCAATTCGATTACGGCATTAGCTGTCAAGAACACCAATTACGAATCACCAAGCATGGATTGTGAACACATTCCACATCCACACCCTGCGTTTCTTAAGCTATCAGTTACTGTAGCTTTTCATGTGGCTAAAATTGCTTGTAATATATATATATATTCATATATACATATATATATATATATATATATATATATATATATATATATATATATATATATAACAGCCTTTTTTGCGTTATTAGCCGTCACCGATATTATAAAGAAATCTGTAAAATGCAAATTAATTGGTACGGCCAAACACCGAGTTATAAATCCCATTAAATAATTCACAGTAAAATAAGGACGCATTCTGCAGCACGTATATGACAACTTATTAGTGGAGTTCCGTGTTTTCGCCGTTTTCTCACATTTTTTTAATTGACTGAAAAAAAAATAAATAGGGGCGGGGGGGAGGGGGGGGGGGGAGCGGAGGGTGTTTTTGCTGTTTCTTCCTGGATTCAGTGGTTTTCGGGGCCATTTTAGTTGCCGGCAAGAGATGTTTATGTTCAAGAAAACAAGACAAGGTGGTGAGATTCCTGAACGTCTGGTTGAAATATCCGTGACACAAATATTTGGAAAACGCCCTGATACCGATCTGAGTTAGTATAGAAGTTCTCGAGAGAAGCGGTGTGGTTCCCGAAGAAAATTCTGCCTCGCGGACTCTTCGTTGGAAGCTATGATCTGTTTCATTAAAAATACAGCTATCAGTAAATATCTCTTCCCGTGAATTTTGAGTTTCTTCTAATCAAAGCATCGCTTCTTACCGTTTTTATTTTTCGTTTGTCTTAATTCCGAGAAAACCGAGTCGGGGTTCCTTTTTGAGATTTTGATTTGTTCGAGCCGTAAACTCGAAACTTTACTTATAATTCATTAAGTATTCTGATATAGAATGTCCAACTCGTTGTATTGTTCATACAATAAATGCATTAATATACGATGTATTTTGATATTTGATTTTCTTTTTGCAGATACCTTCAGATTTGACAACAACTTTAGTTGGTTCTCCAAGAAGCGGCTCTCCTACATTTTGCAAGTGATATACCCCGAAGACGACGTGGCGACGGGAAGCTGATGTCTGACAATTTAGATCTGCGTCCATAATACGTTTGACCATATTATGTTGAAGTAATCAGGCATAAAGATGACACAGAAATGTATAGACAGTTTTCAAACTTAATTCGACGATGGAGGACACATGAGTTTTCCAGAAACATAGCGTTGCATGTAAATAATATGCAGGAAAACACAGAATTTTAAAGTTTTACCTTCCTCGATAACTCGCCTCTTTCTGAGAGACAGATATTTTCTAATTGCACGCAAGATGCTTGTCCTGATTTTGGTTAGCTTACCCTACGCTAGGCGAAACTAAAAACCAATGTAAGTATTGATAATTCCTCTCACGAGCAACAGGACGGCACAATCTTTTCATGATTTTGTTTCTAGTGCTTCGTATTGTTGCCCTCTTATAATTTAGGGCAACGTACACTCCAAATATCTACAGTGTGTACTTTCGCGGAAATCTGAAGCTCCAAGAAGGATGAGACTGAAGGTATGTTATACAAAAAATAATCTGCGTCTTGTCACTGAACATGGTAAAATGCCATGCTCAGTAACACAGCGCAGATTTTTTTTTTTTTTTTAAGTTGTGCTACAGGGTTTTAGATCTGTCTAATTTCGTTTTTTTTTTTAAATTTAGGACAAAGTCAATGTCGCGCTCTTTAGGAAAAAAAATTGAATCTGCATGGAGACGCCACACTTCTATACCTTCTGAAAGTCTGATCTCTTGCATAGAACTCTGTTTTCTTATAATATATACTCATGCTTATTCAAGATGGAATATCACACTGACACAATTGGATACATGCTTCCTGTAGAATGATAGGACAACTGCATCTCAGGCAAGGTAATGTCTTTTTTTAATCCCCCCCCCCCCCCACAAGGGTCTTATAAACCTGTAAATAACTACCCAAGGGAACCAATTTTATGCTAGGAACACAAACCGCTTCGGGCACCGCGTTCCAGCTTAGGTGTGCAGCGCTATAATGACTACACGAGCGCAAGCGTAGTTCTGTAGAGCGCCAGTTGCTTTCACGAGTAATTAAAACGATGAAATTGCTTTCGAAACGTTTCATGCTTGTTTCACTCTTGTTTGAGACACCAATGCAGAACTGCCATTCCTCGAATGCACGACACCCTTACCCGACGGGTGCAATCAGCCGCGACTACCCTGATATTTTATTTTTTCCTGTATATGATAATATATTGCAATATCTCTGCAACCTTGGTTTTGTCCTACAAGCCTTTAAATGCTTTGACGAACTTGCGTCGTGCCATGGACATGGTGCTCTTTCTCAATTAATTATATTATTATTATTATTATTATTATCATCTTATCACGTAAATGTAAGCATGGTATAACATCCCACTATTTTTTTACTGCATTAAATTCAATCACGGAGCTGCCAGGAGAGAAAAAGGTTTGTTGCAGTTGCCAATTGGTTGTTTATAAAACTTCAGAGCTTGCAGTAGTTTGGGTGACAATATTTTTATCACATTACATGTGCAAATATTTTTTTTTGCGAACAACCATACTGACTGTTGTATTTGAGAGCATTTCATAAACTGTTTTTATATTTATGCGCCAGACGCCGTAGGATGTTGGTGAGAACTATTTTTGCGTGAGGTTAACATCTCTGCCAAACAACTTGAGCTCTTGGTGCCGGTTGTTCAGCTGGATGCTCAAAATATTTTTTTGAAGAGCATCTTATTGAGCTAGTATTAAAAAATGGTTTGAACAACTGTTTTGTTTTAAATATTTGAACGATATTTTTGTTGTGTACTGTTGAATTATCTTACAACTTTGCTGCGCACAAAAATAAAATTCGAGACATGAAAAATCACGTTCCAGCAAGCTCCTCGTTTCCAGATTGTGATCTTGCCTATGAAATGCCTGCTATTTTAGTAAATTGCGTTATCATCGGCAGATGTTTCCAATGACAGCAATGCATGCAAATTCCACCGTTCAGCAGGCGGTAGTTATTTGATTTGAAAAATCAGAAGTACACTTGCCACAATAACAAAGATCAAAAGATAAATGCTGTAGCGGACAAAACGTCTATGCTGACAAGCAAACGTCGTTCATAGAGGCGCAAAGAAAACGAGATTTTCTTTTAAGACGGCCACTCGATTCTATTACCCGGTGCGCGGTGGTTTCGAAGAGGAAAAAAAAAAGAATATGTTTTAGCACAAGTGCGAGTTGTAACTTCAAAATTCCCCAAAAGAATTTTTAATATCCGTGATATGCTTTGGCAACCTTTTTTTTTTTTTCGGATTGATGGGTCAGGCTTGATGCTTCATCGCAGAGAAATTCAACGTCACGGACAGATTTAAAGGGATACTACAACGAAATTTCGGCGCTCATTTTTTGGTCTATATGTGTTCAAAGGAGCAGTATCACATCGAACATACCAATATCTTGTTAAGAAAGTCTCGAAAAGGAATTTTAAAACGAATTACACGATTAGCAAAGAGCGCCTGGTGGATGTCGCTAACGCCTCGCTTGTAATGCCCGTCTAGGAACCTCGACAGCTAGTGACGGTCTCGCCGCCGGCCACGACGAGAGAAGAGGGGAAGGAGGAACTCCCCTCTTCCCGAAAATGCCTTTTTTGTGTCGCAGAAGTCGCTATTGTCCCCCTACAAGATTATAGAAGATTAACCCCTCACTCAAAATTCGTACAAAAGCAGCCGCTTCGGTGGCTGGCACGGCTAGGCCATCCTCTCGACGTCAGCCTCGCCGTAGCTTTGCTCGTCCCGAGACGACCTACGTCACAATTGCGTTGGATGCCACGTGGCCTCCGCTGGGCCTTCTCCGAGCGCTTGCCAGAGTGGGGCGTTTATAACGAAAAATACAGCCACCAGGCTCAAAATACAAACGTGTGATTGTCATTTACGGATATTGTGGATCATATTCAACCTATGTTTGAACACGACGGGAATCTTTCAAATTTTATTGAAGTATCCCTTTAAAGTCACGCGCATATAAATAAGTCATGGACGAAGACAAGTTCATTTCACCAAGAACAAGGTATTTATTTTTAAAACAAATGGTGTTTAACTTTTTCCGTAAAAACAAAGGCGCGCCCTTTGGGCCTGGGGAAGGTCGGGGGGAAGGGGGGGGGGGGGCAGGGCGGTAGGCCACACCGCCTCCTTCTCCCTTAAATTCAAACCCTGGTCTGTCAGCCGCTAACCCATTTAAAAAGTACGCCAGGCAACATTGGCGGCCGCCATTGCTTGCAGACGAAGCACGTGATTGGATACGAGTCATCGCCGAACGCTGACGCTGTGCTCGTGCCCAATACAGCCACAGAGTATGTTATCAAGCAATGGCGGACAGGTGTTGGTGTGGACTTTTGAAAAGGGGCGTTGATAGACGTCCGCGAAAAAAGTTATCACCTTATTTGCAGATTCTATTCTTTACTTCACTTTTCCTGCTATCGCCTTCTCGCGTGTTTCCAAGGTCAACGACTCTTTATAGGATAGCAAATGACTGCTGTCAGACGACCTTTAAAGATCAAAACAACCGAGGAACGCGACGCAGCGTTTTCTCGCTTTGTCCAGGTGCCTATTTTTGTCTGGTGTGCTCTTTCTTCCCACCTCAAACAATCACCGGTGCTTCAGAGCTACCATACTCTCTTCGTGCCGCGGTAAGTTGTGGCAGTTTACCAAACTAACGTGAGGAGGCGCAATACTGAAAGAATACCTTGGGCACCTTAGTGAAAAGAAGGAACAAGCTCTTGATGAGGTTAACTGCACCCTGGTGATCCTTTACTCTATCTAATTTATATAAATATTGTCAATGAGAAGGCCACCTCATGTATGAAAACTTACTGATATCGTCATCTATTTTACAAATAAGTAACTTGGTAAAATGATAATCACGTACTTTAGAATTATTTAGAAACTATGAAAACACGATGAAAAAATCGGATATGAATCTTCTCCAGATAATACTATTTTGATAATACTGTCAAGGTGAAAAAATACCAAGTAGTTTTGTTATGTGCCTACAAGAATGTTTAAATAGAAGTCTAGAGGATTTTACTTAGTTTGGTAAATATTTGAGATTTTTACATCGGAGAATTCGTGTAACTGCCACAGATATCCGGGAACTGCTGTGTAGAACCAATGTAAGCCCTATGTTAGAGTAGGCATGTTGTCTATGGCATTTTCCGACTAACGTCCATGTAAAATAAAAAGCAAAAATGCATCGGCTCTTAAGACATTAGGGAAACGGACCAAGGACATGTATGTTAAGTTCACGTGTTTTAAACAAAACTTAAAAATGGATACTCTGGAACACCGGAGAGCGAAACATTTTTTTTTGTAGGTATAGGTATATATTATTTGCAATCTGGTAACTGTGTGAAACGTTCCCTCGTAATATGTATCCTCACGTGTGTATCAAAACGAAGTGAAGAAGTTCAAAAACAAGGCTTTTAGTACCTTATTTTTTCTGACAACTATTCGCCGATAAAATCAGTTGTGTTTGCCAAAATTGTAATGTGAGTCATTAAATGCTATTTAGTATATGTGGAAACCATTCGCTTCATTTCATTGAGAAAGGAATTAAAAATAACTTTCTTAGTGGTTTCGCGAATAGTTTATTGATATCTTTGAGGTCGAGATATGACAAGCACTGCAATATGAACCGTACAAAATAACGACACAGAAACGGGACCCTCCGTCTGTTGCACGATATGAAATCAGTTCGTTTATATTGGCATTTTATTTGCGAATATAAAATCGCGGAAATAGAGCGATTGCAATTGTGTGCGACTACTGGTTGAATTAAATGGCAGAGCGTCACCTGCAGAACTGGTCGTCGTGGCTTTGCCTTGCACTGTAAGGACTACAAATGACGCAACAATGTTCGACTCTAATGACTATTCAAACACTCCTAAGTCATTGTAATTTTATCACAGGCAGAAAGAGAAACACACATTATTTTATGCGAATGGTTAGTTTTGTATCTCAATATTTGTTCTTAATATTCGGCTCCCATCTTGACCTAACTGCTTTGCTTAATTGTTTTGTCAAAACACTTGAAATCAGTATTTCCACTGCGGCTTACCAAAATGTTCTTCTATTCACTTTCTTAGTTGGAGAATTCCCTTCCACCTCCCCTTGTGCAATGCCGAAAAGCCCGTGGGTACTCAATGAGTAAAGAAATACATATATCAGCAGGTGTGGCGGACAGACCGGTCTAGCTCGCCGAAGAGTGGACGTCCTTCGCCGCGGCGCAAAGGCATGCGAGCGCGCATCTTTTTTTCAAAAATGCCGCTGCAGTTCAGCCACCTTTCTGCCGTGGCTTCACAAAACAAATAAAAAACAAACCAACTTGTTTATGTTTTCTTGAACGTCGCATATGCTACTCAAGAAAGGAGCAGTTTGGAACCCGTAACTAACCAGAAACTATTATTTTCAGATATTAATTAGCATATGGTTTGTCAACCCCTTCTAGTTCATTTGGCTGCATCAGCAATTAATAAGCCTTCGCGTGCTGACTACATTTTCGCTTATCCTTACTGTTTCTGCAACGAAGCGACGTCGTTTCGTTTGTGCCTCCAAGGTCGACGTATGTTTACGAGAGAGCGAGTGGCTGCGACCGGCGTGGCCGTTTAATCATTGGACGATCGTATCCTCGCTTTCTTTCCATGCGTTCCTTCCTGCCCGTTGGAGGTTACACCTCACTCTAAAAGGCTGCCGCAGTGTCGAGGCCCGACTTCGCCAGTTCACGTTCCGGTAAGTTGCGGCAGTTTGTTCGAATCCACGTAAAGAGACGCCACAATGAGCGGATATCTTGGGGATCTTAGTCAGAAGCAACAACAAGCTCTCGATGAGGTAAGTGCAGCCCTTTGAGTATTCCAGTGTATACCTGTCAGACGAAAACGTGATTTGTCAGTGTATTCGGTCAGACACTAGTGCCCTTGACGTACAGACACAATAAGCTTCGGCTTTAAAAGTGGAAAGCGATAACGAAACAAAGAAACTTATAAACTCCCGCTCGTTTCCAAGCCGTGCAAGCGTGCGTTGCCTGGCTTGGAACCGAAGGGACGTGGGTTCGAATCCCGTCTCAAATTCTTCAGATTTATCTTTCATTCAAATTAATTACTTTATGGAGTGAAATCATTTAAGACATGTGGAGTCCTTTAGTTCATATTACATGTCAAGTTTCTTATTCACTTTCAATCCACGCGTGACGTCACGTTTTACGTGAGGGTTGTGGGTTGCTTGAAATTCACGCGCGAGGTCATGTGGCTGTGACGTTATGACCCTATCAACCAATCAGAATTTTTGCCGCACGCCATCAGACGCCACCAGACGCACGTCCGATCTAATAACTTCGTGCTATGAGCAATTAAGAAATAAACGTATTAAATAAATAAATAACGTAGTTTTGACCCTAAAACTGTGTTCGCATAACCTCTCTACTTGTATCTTGGGTGTCCTCCCGTGTACTGTAGTCTCGGGCTCAAGGAATTCGGTTTTCACGATAACACCCAACATATTGCTTCTGTATTGCGAAGTTATCTAAAAAATTCAATGGTTTATTTATGCCATAAATTCAAGGGCTTTGCCCTGGCAAAATTATAGAATGCTCGGTATTTTTTTTTTCTAATTTGTCTCAGTTCAAGCTGTGCATTCAGGATATCTGGAAAAAGGAATTCACGGATTCGTTCCTTCTTCGATGGCTTAGAGGTGAGACTTGACGTTGTGATAACATAATTGATTCAGTTTTTATTCAGCCGGCCCTGAAAGTTACGACAACACGGCAATACGGTTCCCCTGTGCTGTATGCAGTAAGGTGCTACTACAACATGCGAAAATGCAGAATAGTGCTTCCGTGAAACTATCCATAATAATGCAGTCATACGCGCCTTAATTTACACAAATCCTTCCAAGCAGCCGTCGTGCCAGTCCCAAATCTGTGCCAACTTTGCTCGCATAGCTGTGGCTTATGTTTTTTAAAGTTGTTCTAAAAGTAAATAAATAATAAAAAAAAAACCTAGCCGCTGGGTAAACACATGCGAACGAACCCGTAGAGGCTCAAGACGGGCTTCAGCTGTCCGTGTTCTGCTACATGGCTTGACTTTGGCATGCCACTGTTCAAACAACACTGCTGCCGATATTTTACTGACAAATTTAGATGATGGACGCGCAGAACGTGAGCTGCGCATATATTTCTAACAAATATTTGATAACCGAGATCGATAATATCGAAAGACTCCATCATGTCAAAACAGAGAGTGAATGACGTATTGGTTCGTTCAGCGAGGTAGTATAATGCTCTTCTGAAACTATCAGAATAGCCGATATTTAAATTTAAATTTTTTGAAAGATTTGATTAAGTGTGTACATACCTACAGTTGGTGGCAAGTTAAGAATGCAGTAAATATTCCGCTTCCAGCACGTGCTTCCTGCTTTTGATGACAATTTGTCGCACGCGGAACCGAAGTCCGGCTGAAGGCATTGTGCGCGTTCTTCAGCCGAAGTTTCTACTGCGTTCTTGGCCTGCCACAGGATATAACTTAAAAAATTTATCTACACACATGTGCTAGTTCATCCTGGCACATTTATTCTGATGACAGAAAAGGCAATCAAAGCACAACTACAAGGATGGAAGAACCATTAAAATCTACCTTATATTGACAATTTTAAAACGGCGGATTAAGCGGTTGAAGATGGAATTACGAGGATAGGGTAATGATGATAATGTTTATTAAACTGCGAGTCCGGAATGTTCTATGGCAATTGATTGCTTATTTTCGCACCATAATCGCATATTAGGTTAATACGTATAGAATAGACACTTGGGCTAGTTGGTACAAACTCATTGTTGAGAACAGCACGAAAAAGTACGAAGGATGAGGAACGAAAACACGCAGAACAGCTATTTATATTGCATATATAATGTCTTTTTTCCGCAGCTCGGGATTTTGACGTCAAGAAGGCCGAGCACATGCTACGTAAGGTAAGCATTAAAGAAAATTTCGATGTCTAGAAGCAGCCGTTTGCTAAACAAAATTTTTTGGAGGGCTGTTTTTTTTTAACTATATGTAAACTAACAGACTAATATTAATAAAGGAGATGTGCTCTGCATTTTGCTTAACTATAAACGAAATTTAAATGTCTACTGTATCTACCTCTCCACGTTATAACCGCGCCAATTTAGGCACTTATCATGACGAAGCATTAGATTTTGGATACCATTCTCAACAGTAGTTGCCGCCTGAGCTTCGAGTCATTCTATGGTGCGTCGAAAAGATGTCAATCATTATAGGGCGATTGACACGAGCGATCCAGCCTACATGTCCACTCGAAATTTTTGTTCTTTTTTTTTTATATGACCTGTACACACAAAAGAATCGCACAAAACTAAACTTTTTGTCCCCCCCCCCCCCTCCAAAAAAATAAATAAAAAGTTGTCACTACGAGGAAAAAAATGCTTTAAGCTGCTGTGGGAGCCGGGCCACGGCCCTGCTCCCACAGCGGACTGCAACAGTTGCCAACTTTGCGGCCCTGTGGAAGGCAGGCAAAGAGTCGTACGCTAAAAATGTTTCCTGTTTCATGTAAGGCACCAAAGGTTTAAGTCAACTGCATGTAGTTATAATACGCTCTGTGAATTGAAAAAAAGCATAACTTTAGACCCGGTGAAACAAATACATTAACTTTGAGGCCTTCTACCTCAATACGTATGGCATTAACGAGTTAAAAAAAAACTACATATAATAAGGCCATGGCATCCGAAATACTTCTGCAAAATATGAACCTGCGATAAAAATATGAACACAAAAATATTTTTTAAAAAACACATTTTAAAAAATTATTTTGAAAAACACATTTTCAAAAAAGTTATCTCCATTGAAAAAACAAAATAAAAATATCCACCTGGTCCAGCACGCTTGCACCTTTGCATTTATTTGCATTGTAATCACAACGTTAAAATGCAAGCCTCACCCTTGTTGGTGTTAGACTGGTGGCAGCTGATAAAACCTGTTTGCTCTACTGACGTCTAACTCCTGGTTGGTTCAGTTGGCAAAGCGCTTCACTGGAAATGGAGAGGTCCCGGGTTCGATAGCCGGACCAGGCGGATTTTTTCGGTCGCGCGCCAGTCACGTAGCTGTGTTTGGAGATTTGTGTTTGTCCTTTATCCCACTTGTTCCCCTTCTCCAGAGATTATTTTCGTTCAAAGATTCCGTGTTTGATTTAATTAAAGCCAGGCGAAAACAACGCACACAAATATGTTGCACCATTTCCTTGGTACAAAAGTTCTAAGCGATCAAAGTGGCGGTTAAGGGTCTTGACTCCGATGTTTTTCGCTTCACCCCGCCGCTGGTATATATATTTTCTATTTAGTTTTTAGGAAAAAGCAACTTTCTTTTTCTTAGTATGTGCTCGTAATATTAAAAAAATATATCTTTCCAGCTTTTTTTTTTGCTTGTATTTTTTTACGGGCACTTATGAAAGTTTACGCTCATGCCTGCAGTGGCAGGCATAAGCGTAAACTCATGCCTGCCACTGCAGGCATGAGTTTACGCTCATGAATAAACGTCGAATGCAAAACCGTAAAAACGTAGGTGGAGAACCGCGCTGAGCGGGTCTTCACAGTCCAAGAGAGTAACAGGAAATTTCTAGCTGATAGAGGGCGCGAAAGTGGTACCAGCCGCATCAGCATCAGACAACATGGCGGCGGCCTAGGAGCATTTCTTGGAAAGGTGTATACACAGAGACAAGGCGTCGACTTTTCTTTTCTCCGCTTTTCCGGTTCTTTTCTCCGCTCCCAAGAAACTCAAGAAGTTTTGTGGTACAATTGATAGGGGAGCAGCACACGCAGCGCGATGCGAAAAGAGCATAAAAAGCTATTCGTAGCGTGCGAAGTGGGAATTCTGTATAGAATACGGCAATCGTGTGGTAAGTTGTGTATTGGATAGTGTAGTAGATGCGTCAACGATAGACTGAGGGAGCATGCATTATTTGTGTGATCGTTCCCTGCAAGTCATTTGGCGATTCATTGCGACAGGTGTGGGTGCGCTCCTAAGTTTGAAAAGACAACAATAATGATGCGACGCAACAACAAAAGGACGAGCGAGATAACGGAGGCCTTTTATATATCACGATGTAGCGAGGGCGCGTGCGTCAGTTCCCCCTTTGAGGCCCTCTGTCAAAAATAGATAGAATATCTCGGCAAACGGGAACGTGGTGTGTGTCGTGTGTGCGGTAGATTGGCCGGGTTTTTTCGCGGCCTTCATGTTTTTTTAAAAAATTAAATTTCAGTTGAAAGTCAGCGACTTGTCTGTGTGTATACTCTTCTACTGGTCCGTTATTTTTTTGCGCTGTATCCTCGTTCGTATACATCACCAACTCGCCCAGATTTCTACGCTTATTACATTCACTTTTTTGTCAACGCGCTGGCAATTTGAATGCCAAAGCAATAAGGCAATAAGATATCGAACTCGTTCAATAATAAACTTCTTAGTGAGCGCGTTGGTAATGATGTAGGTTTAGAAAGATGTGTTGTCCCGTCCCCTGTCTTTACGTATATAACTCTTTCTAAACCTACGTACAATAATAAGTTCGTAAAACATACCCAAAACTGGGTACGTTTCAAATAGACGTTCATGCGGAAATATCATGGGCCTCCATGTAGGTGTGTGACAACACATCAAAGGAAATTCCTAGATATCATGGCAAGTATAATAAGTCAAGTGTAATTAGAATTTGAAAAGCATGCAGCCTGTGTTTTTCTTTTTTTGGCACACCACCGATGCCTATTCTTGTTCGCTTTTTCGCTTGAAGGAACGGAGGTTTTAGGAATTTCTCATATATGCTACGGTGTAATGAAAATACTTGCAAGAAATTAAAGTGGTTGCTGTAAATAAGTGTTCCTTGTTTTCTCATAGTGACTTGTTGCGATTTGTATTATTAAAATGAAACGTTTCTTCCAACTGATTTGCAGAATCAAGTATGGCGTCATGAGAACAACATAGATTTGCTCCTGGAGACGTACCAGTTACCAGAGGTAAATTTTGCACTCCGTATTGAGCAAAGTGTTCTTCAATATATACCGGATTAATTTAGCCTGATTTGCTTTTATTTAACAAACACAGATTTGTTTGACGAAAGTTAATTAACGAGGGTAATATTAGTAGGTTATTTTAAATAATGTGCACACTATCAATACTGAAAGCAGTTTGAGGAAACAATAACAATCACAATAACAAGTCTACTATTTAGTGGCTGTAATGGTTAACATACCACCAAAAACGTGGTGATTCTGATTTTTTTTAGCCAATGCGGGCGTGAGGGAAATGAATGTCAAACCAAAAAAAAAAAATGAATAATCAAATTTTTGCTTAAATTTTCCTGTCAAATATACTTGCTTCATAGGCGATCCCTATAATACATGGACAGTAAAATTCGATGGAGAAGGTTTATTCCCGACATATCTGGTACTCACACTGCGAAGTGACGTTTGTATTCTAAAGTACAATAAAACGAAAAAGGTTAGTTGATTGAATATTTTGTCTCTCTTTGGGGACTTCGCGTATATTAATAATTCTAGAGCGAAAACATTAAGCTTGAAAACTCGCGGTTATCTAAAAAATAAGAATTTAGTCTAAATATTTCTTGAACTATACCGGAAAATATTCATGAGGAATGAGTTTCCGTTGCTTATATTAACCTCAGTAGAGGCAGCTGTTTCCGGAAAGGTTCTCAAGATACCGATTGAAAATTATACCTATCAGCACTGTTTTGTAGTGAGAAGTCGAGGCAATCGTACTCCATAAAAGAAAAAACAACAATATTTCTCTAGTAGAGGACACTGCGTAAGTAAACTTTTAAGCTTTCTTCTATGGTTTTGAAATTTGTGAAGACAGTATTACGAAGCAATTTCAATAGTCATTAAACGCTCTTTAACCGTTCATTCTCACTGGAAGCGGATCTGCGTTCGCAAAGCGGTTGCGAACGCGGTTTTATAATTTAAAAATGCTTCACGTTGTCGCAGGTATTGAGACGCTACTTGCCTGGCGGGATCAGCGGCCACGACCGGGGTGGCCGGCCCATCTGGATCCTGCGTTTTGGCAACTGCGACTATAAAGGTGGCCGAAAATATAATGTCCTCCGTACTTATATGAACAAGTGGGTGTGTTGGTTCCAGCGCTGGGCAGTATCGCGATACAAATGTATCGCGATATTATCTTAGAGATACTTTCGAGTATCTGTATCTCTGTATCGAGGTACATTTGTAAAATGTATTGGTATCTCAGTAGTGAAATACATTTGAAATGTATCGCTTGTATCGCGATACTTTGCCCGACTTAGGCATCTCGTTACATTTGGTGCCCTTTGTAAGATAAATTTAAGGGATAAAAATATCTGTTTGGTGCATAATGATTTCGAATTTATAATATGAACCTGCCTTATAACATAATCCATCTCCATCACCAACAATAAAAAAAAAGTGGTTTGAAGAAGGCTACTTGCAAGAATAACAAAATCAGCTCCTCTCACAAACCCCTCCACTCTTTCCAACTTAGCGGAGCGACCGCTGTAAAGGGGTTGAGTGGAGAAAAAGTACGGCCCTCTTGTCCAAACTTCCTACGCTGTGGGTGACTAAGAAGCTTATAATATGACAGTTTGAGATGCGCCCTCAAGGCAAAACCGGGTTCATTTTGGGCAGACGCTTTTTGTCAAGCATGGCATGCAGTCTTTACCGTTCTTTAACTATGTCAGGGGTGGCCAGGCTGACCTGGCCCAAGAGCCGCAAAGGAAACCACAAAACTTCTAAGAGCCACCGGGGAAGGGCCGGGGGGGGGGGGGGGGGGGGGACAAAACAAACACCACTGCCTGGTTACCCCCCCTCGCCCCCCCCCCCCCTCCTCGAAAGCATAACTAAGCAGCTTGCGGGTCACAACTGCAAGCCGGTAAATATAACAATAAGATTGTTCCTGGTCCTTTGTGAACTTGAACATAACGTCTGTGACTAGTGGAAGCTACGAATGAGGTCAACCTGGGCTTCCGCGACCTTCAACAAGAAACGATATGGAGAGAACAACCGTTACTTAAAGGGGACAAGTATCACCGGCGAGTGACAAAGGCCGCGATACAGAACATTTCCTCGACCCCAAGCCAAAGTGCACGGATGTTTTGACAGTCCCTGTTCTTGGTGACATTCCCAATTAGGGTCCGGCAAACTCTCTTGAACAATGAAAGAAACAGGATCTGTGGAAACATACGAGTGAAAAGCGGTTCGACTGTACGTATGGGGGCACAAGGCTGCCAAACCCCCCCCCCCCCCCCCTGCAAGCTGTTTATTCTAAAACCCTTTCTACGCGGAGAAGGCCGGGAAGGGGGGGGGGGGGGGTGTTTAACAAGGGATCCGCGAGCCGCACCGTGACCAGCAAAGAGCCGCATGCGGCTCGCGAGCCGCGGTTTGGCCACCCCTGAACTATGTAGTTAAACAGGGGTGACATGCTTTTTTAGCGGAAAGAATGATAATTAAAAAGTTCGAGGTAATGAGTAGTGCATAAAATGGCACAAAAAGAGGAACACAAACCTAAATTACCTATCGCGTTCGCCACGAACTGACCGCTGTCCACGTAGCACCGTTCGTGAACTAATGTATTTTTGTGAGTATCTGCATCGGTATTCTAGAATACTTTTTCGCCGTGTTTGCGGAAGTTTAAAAGACAAATGTATATCCGTATCTGTATTTTGGCTTTAAAATACATGTATCTCAGTATTTGTATTCCCGAATACTTTTTGGAGTATCTCTGCCCAGCCCTGGTTTGTATGTACAGTGCGAAAAAGGAAATCCTATCACACGTGGAGACGAAGGACATGGCCCATACGATTATTGATTGCACGACTGTATGGCTTATCTATAAATCGTGACTGCTAAAGTAAATGGCAAGATTTTATTCTGGAAGTTGGTTGAGTTTAATAAGAATATGTGTGCCATAAAAATTAACTGTAATTTAAGGCACTGTAGTTTCCTAGAAAACAACTTCAGTTATCAAATAATGCTTACCATATACAAAAAAGGATGAACCGGAGTATATTTGTTGTGTCCACCATATTTTATTTTAGAAGGGTCGGATCACGCTTTTAATATGAAAGAATACAAAAGTAGCACCGATTCCTTGAAGTAATAGTTTTCAAAATGTTTCGTTGAAAAATAGTATTGACTACCTTGAACTACTGTATTAAGGCATTCGATGACTTTTTTATGTTTGCAATCGAACTCGCTAGTGGATACTCAAAAAAAAAATATAAAAAAACCTGACACAAGAAGGCAACTCAATTCAGGCTTGATTGAAGCATAACAGTGGTTTCTGAGGACCGCTACCTTAAACGGCGCACCTAAATAAAGCATAACCTTGTTCAGCAGGTTATTAATATTCGTCATGTCGACATTTCGAAAAATGTAACATTAAAAATACGGAAATCAAGCGGATTTATTCGATTAATCATTTTTCGATTCAGATTCAAAACTCGATTATTCCTGAATTCAAAAATAATTTTAAATGAAAAAAAAAATTTCAATGTTTTTTTTTGTTTTTTATGTTACCTTATGAGATAAAGTGGTATAGTAATATATCTACGTTTAATGTGTACATGTGTGCAGTCTTGGCTAAGTTTCTTTAAAAAGTAATTAGTTACAATTACAGTTATTTTAAAAACGTAGCGAAGTTACCGTTACAGTTACCGCAACAAAAATAGTAACTCGTTACAGTTATAGTTACTTCGAAAAAGTAACGACGTTACTTTTCAGTTACTTCTCTATAACACGAAAATTAAAAACGCCCCTCACGAAGTTTTATAGCATAAAATTAAAAATTAAGCTTCTTACGCTTTTGTTAGCAATCACCTTTACCATAGAAAAATACTCTCTGTACGACGGCCATGGTAGTTTTTCTTTGTTCTCATCAACATCCCTATCCTTGGTAGCACTGGCATATTGTTGGCTCGTTGATGGTTGCGCTGGGTTCATAGAGTCCCTGGAACTATTTCAGTTCGTACCCGGCAAGCCGGAAACAAACCCCGCGCAAACAGCAGTAAATTTTGTCTCGACTGTTGACACCACGCCGGTGTAGTGACGCAAATGAAAACACAAAACTTGCATAGTGCCCTCCACGTGTAATATTGTTTCACGGTTGATTTACTCGATTAAAAAGCGTTCGCGCAGAAAAAACAAAAACGGCATCATAGATAGTGCTTCAAGATACTAAGATGTAAGTGTTGAGTCACAAAGCACAAGCCCGTTTGTAAAGATAACTTGACATTTTTTTCTATCAAATCTACACGTTGCTATATTCGAGTTCGCAAGTTTGTGCAAGGCCAACTTGACACTCGAAATGTTGGAACAGACGATTTGGAAAGTGCAAGAAATAGCTTGGTTGTACTCGTTCAATGCTATATTATTATTAAAAAATCTGGAAAGTAACGGAAAAAGTAACGTAGTTATTTTCATCGTCACATCAGAAAAAGTAATATAACCACAATCACAAGTTACGTTTTTTAAAAAAGTAACTCGTTACAGTTACAAGTTACCGCAAAAGTAACGAAGTTACAGTAAAGCGTTACGACTAACGCGTTACTAACCAAAATTGCACGTGTGTGCATATTTTGGTGGAGATTATTTAGCTTACCACTTCTTTGAAGAGCAAGTGTTTGCTTAGAGCTTCCGTTACCAAGTGGTAAAGAAAAACGCTGTGCCTTAAAGGGTATTCAAATCGTTTTCATTTTTAACGCAGGGTTACTACAATGCGTATCCAAGGAGGAACTGTCCAAAGCCTGCTTCTATCAGGTTGAACAGATATATGCGGACTTCAAAATCCAGAGTGAGAAGGTGAGGATTCCGGCGATGGGGCAGCACTGCGAAGGACTACTTAATTTGAGCGCGTTGTAGTAATGAATATTTAAAAACGAAAAAAATAGAAGCATGAAAGGTGTACACAAACTACCGCACTCTTTCACCGCAAAGCGCTCCTTTAAAATTAAAGGCAGGGAAAGAAAGGGTTATATATATTTATATATGAAAGATAAACAGAAAGAACCAACCGAAGCCATCTCTACTGATAGTTCCACCAGAACCCTTGGACTTCCCCGACGAAACCTCAGATGTGCACAATCACGTTTCCGAAAGCTGGCATACGACACATTCATCAGACCAAAAGTGGAATATGCCGCCTTCCTCTGGAACCCTCATCAAGTTTACCTCATCACTCATTTGGAAACGGTTCATAACAGGGCTGCTCGGTTCATCCTACCCACATACGCTCTTTCCGTGAGTGTTTTTCCTTAACAGTCAACTAATCCTTTCCCCCCAGAGATTCGTCGAAAAATCTCGCAGCTCTTGTTTCTTCCTAAAATCTATTATAATTGTACCAATCTTAAGACAGCCTTTTTATCACCTGCCGACCGAGCAAAATTTGGCCTTAACAATGACTGCAGCATCAACCGCATTTCTGGCTCAACAAACGCGTTCAACCGATCATTCCCTCCACAAGCCATCAATGGCGGGGTCCGCCTCCATCCTCCATCATCACCTTCATTGCCCTGGAGGAATTCAAGTAATCTTCCCAATGACATTTTTTATGTTAATAATATTTGTTAATTTGACTAGTTTCTGATTAATCCTGAATGTTTTTGTTAGTATCTGTATTTCATTGCATGATATGAATACCCCCCCTCCCCCATCTTATGTGGCGCCATAAACCGGCCCTTAAGGTGAATTAAACGAAAAAAAAAAACGAAATGAGATAACAAGGGAAAGCCAACTTATATAAGTACCACAGAATCGCCATCCCCCGACATGATTGAATACAAACCATCCTCTTTACTTCTAATGCCTAACAGATTTTTTTTTTAATTCCTGATATGTTGTTTTGCCGACGGCATTGCAAAATTTATCTTGTTACTGTACCCTCGACTAGTCAAATTGGTATGGGTTCCAACACTGACTGTGTTTTGGTATAAAATAAAAAAAAATAGATTGAAGCAAAAATATTATTGGAATTATTTAAATTGCCCAGGGGGACTAGAAATAGACGCATATGAAACTTGCAAAATATGGTGTGAATTCTTAAATACTGCGACATCGGTCAGAACTAGACGTAAGAAATAGAGGCACAAGTAGAGCAAGGAATTACGTGAAAAAATATTAGAACAAAGTAAAGAGTAAAACCCACGAACAAATATTTCGAGAGTGAATATACATAACAAAATATCAGAAACTACAGTGGCGTTTCGCAATTCGATCTTCATAATTAGCTCCACGTCTATAACACTGGCTTTTACTGGATTGCTAAAAAATTGCTTCTTGTTTTTACAACAAAAAATACCGGTGTCGTTGTTTTAATAATACTATATACCGTATTTACTCGAGTAATAACCGCACTGTTTATAAAGAAAACCTGAGGGTTCGCTTTTCCGCAAAGCACACAGATTGCCAATCACCGCGATCGACAGTATGATTCCAGCTGTTCACAGGACAGAGATAACGTCTTGGCGCGAAGATACCACCTGTGAAGATTGCATTTGTACGGAGACTCGTGTTCTTAATCTATTTATTCGCTATGTTATTTATACGCAACGCAATGATTGGCTGTACTTGTGTTCTGCAGGGAAAATAGACGCATGGGCCTTGTTCATAAATAGTGCGGCTATTACTCGAGTAAATACGGTATATGCATTGAAGGTGGTCAGGTAGAGGCTTAAATTAGAGACTCCCTGTTTTCCTTTCCAGTTGGGAAAGAACATAGATACTGTGACGGTTGTGTGTGACTATGACAACTTCAGCCTGAAGCAGGTGTACAGCCTCCAAGGTATAGCCACTGGATATTCATGGATAGTTCCTCAATTTCCTATACCGTCAATTCAAACTAATACCCGATTTGTTTCTACCAGCAATGGAGTTCTTTAGGGAAATAACTGTTCAATTCGACACAAACTACCCTGAGACACTTGAGCGATACCTGTGCATCAATGGTAAGCGCACATTTTATTTTCCACTATTTGGACTTACACTGAGTTGTTGTACGTAACAGGACTTTTCAAATCTCTAAATGTCTCTGGAGAGGTGCACTAATGAACGATCCGGGTGCGCCGTGCTTTCCTTTGGGGATAACCACCGTAGCAAATTGAGACCCTAAAGTATCATTTATGCTCTTGGAATTCATTCGCCCAACAGGAATCGTTAGTGGTTTTGCTTAATAAAATATTTCTTTACCTAAGATCAAAGTTTTGAGCTCTTTAAAGTTACCGGGCTTAGCGCTTTATTACGAAAAAGGAAACTCCATGCGCGAGTTGCTTTCTCTTTAGATTAATTATCTTTACAGGCGAATTTCCTTCACTTTATTGTTAGATCATTTGTGATGGCTTAAATGGAAGCTAAAGCACTTCTTGAAAAACAAAAACAAAAAGCAAAACGAGTTAGAGGTAAATTTTGGCGTATTTTTATCCCGTGAATCTAAATATCACGTTTGTTTTCCCCGAAGACGTAACTAAACGCTAGAAATCACAAATAACCTACGGCATGTCGTGACGTCATACTAGGATCATTGAGCCGCCAAGGGCATGTCGCTGGTATGGGTAGCGCGTGCAATTGCAAGCTGGCCAGGTGTATTTTTCCGCACTGACGCCAGTCGTGACGTCTATTTCTGACATTTTTTGATAATAGCAAGAGTGCGCGTCCATAGCATTGACAGGCGCTGAAGATGCGCGAGAGCAGGGATTCTGAAAACACCTACTATGACGTCACGCCCCGGAAACAAGGTGCTTCAGCGGTACTTTAAAAATTATTTTCTGCAAACTCCATGCACCAAGTTGAAAAATAATCTCGATATTCGCGATTCTGTAGGCCAAATGAGCTGAGGATTTAAATGTTTTCCCTCAGATACAGAACCACTTCAGTTTTCCTTTAATGAGAGCCTGGATACTTAAGAACTGACGAACTCTGAACGATATCTACCAATTTAGTATAATAAGGCCCACGCCAATGACTGACGATATTCTGGTTATCTTAAATGAACGATTGATTTATTTTAATGCGAGACCATTAATTGTGACATAGAGCAGAGCGGGCTTTGTACGTAACCGCGTAAAACGGCAGAGAAATGCGCTCCGCGCCGTAAAGGCTCTCAATATGGCTGCAACGCGGCCCGCGCGCCGAATAGTTCCAAGAAACGCCACCCACATTCCTGGCGCTGTTCCCGCGCGCCGCCCCAGCAGCACACACCCGCCGCTACCCAGAGCACGGCCGGACGGCGCCCGCAGAGGCTGCCCGGCCGGCCTCTCCAAAGGATAGCGGAGCGCGCAGCTTGTAGGAGTACGCTACGTATACGAATGATTTCGCGTTCCTACACTAAGCAGTAAGTGTTTTCCTGTAATTTTTGTTTCAGGGTATTTGAAACATAATTACCAAGACACACCCTCGCAACGCCGTTTCTTGCAGTTTTTCCGCCATAATTACGGCTCGCGATAAAGAAAGAAAAAAAAAATTCTGTAAAAATTAGCATTCTGTAGCTGACGCTAAAACCAGGCTGCTCTTCAAAAACAACTACTAGGCAAAGAAGATAGTGCATGTGGCTGTATTTTTTTAAATAACTTATTTCTTATCGTGTCGTGGGGAGCAAAACAAATTTTCAGAACATGAATGTTTTTAGAAAAGTACGCATCTTGGTAGAACGATAAGGTACACGTGAGAAACAGGACATTACACCACGACTAGGCGTATTTTTTTATCATATAATTGTTTTCAGTGTCGCGAAGACGAGAAGAAATGATGACGTGAAGATCGCTTATCTAGTTGTCCAGAAACATTTTATAGAAAAAAAATATAGGTGTTTCAACACCCTGGGTTTTATGCAGCCTACTTTCAACAATACAACTTTAGAAATATTGTTTAGGCCTTTAGCGCCCTTTTATAACTGAAAATGTTTCAACTTTATTTTATTGATCGACATGTACCCGATTCCGTACCGAACTGTTGCGGATCTATTAAGTTTTTCTAGGTACAAGAGGGATAGAAATGTTTGTAAGTCTTAATTTATCAAGTACAAGGAAGTAATTTAGGTGTACCTCAGAACAGGACCGTATTTAACGTTTTTATTCCGGTTCAACTTCTAGAGACGGGGCTACTGGGCCTAAAAGGTAATATCAAAACTCATGTATAATGCAATATGCACATCAAAAGATAGCTTCATGCTGGTGAATCAAACACTTAAAAGAAGGTACCCAAATTACGCAGAAAATAATCGATGTTCAGAGGAAAGAAAAACATAGTCTTTTATTTTGTTACCCACGCCTCTTGTGCAGCCCCCAGCTTCTTCCCATTCTTCTGGAAACTCGTTCGGCCATTTGTATCAGAAAAGACGGCATCTAAGATTGAAGTGTTTCCCCAAGGTATGACACAAGTCTTTTTTACTACGCTTATATCTTATTTGCGCTCGCAATGAGTTGTCCTGTTTGTCAACGGAAATGACCAACCAATGTGTGCATTGATGAGTACGTGCCAAACCGATAGCCCAGAATGAAACATCACGTGAAAGGACAACAGAAACAGAATGCGTTCCTTTTTTTATTTTTTTGTTAATTTTCTGATTTTTTTTTTTTTGAATTGCAGTTTGTGTTTATTGTATATTTTCGCGTTTTGGGTAGCTTCATGTATTTACCCCCCTCCCCCTCCTTTTTTATGTACTGTTCTAAAATGGACCTTTGATGGACTATGAACAAAAATACATAAACAAGTCATGACGCCAGAACAACCAAGTGACATAATAGGACGCGTAAATATAGCACAGAATAAAGCAGAACAGCGTCATAATGTCATAACGAGCGAGGACGGCGCAAGCACAAAAATGTCAAAACAGCAAAGGGACGAAATGATGTAGGTAGCATATTAACAACACAATAGCGCTGATGATAATGCAATTAATATAAATGTGCGAGCGAGCTGGACAAGAATGACGATAATAATCCATGGAGAAGGATGATAAGGGGGAGAAAGGACGAACACAAATCAACAAACATAGTTGTATAGTGTGGAAAATGCTCTTCTTGAAGTTGCGGCATTTTTAACGGGATTCCACGTCTCATCAAGTTGCCCTTCAACAAATTGTGTGCGTGTGTGTGAGGAGAGCGGGGAGAGGGGCTGATTACACTCAGTAAATATCCATTTTCTACATCTTGAACTTATCTAAATTTGTTCCGAAGCACTTCGCAAGTGATATAGCAAAAAAAAAAAATTAAAATAAACACAGGGACATGTGCTGTCTATCACAACTAGAAACGTCCGACATGGAACTTCTGCTTCTATAAGTTGGAGATGTCGGCCAACAAAAAGACTATCTTCTCCTCACTCCTTTTCTCAAATAAAAAAAAAAAAAAAGCCCCAAGTGTTATCAGAAAATGCTCTTTAGGGCCTTAACTTTCCCCAATTTCTGGTTCATTTTGAATGGTACAGAAGCCTGGAAGTCGGCATTACTCAAGTACATAGACCCTTCCCAGCTTCCGGTCCACTGGGGAGGAGAGCTTCTTGGACCAGATGGTGACCCCGAGTGTTCACACAAAGTACGTTCTTTTTTTTTTTTTTATCAAGGAAGATTGTGGAAGTAACTCGGCCAGACCGGAGGCATCTTATATTCCCACCGGTAGGCTAGACACTCGACAATTTGTAAAGTACGCAAATCAAAACTACCAGGCCGTCATATTACGCCTTTGTCTAGTCACAATATGCTACGCCATAGCAGATAAATTTAATTAACGTAGTAAAAAAGACTAAGGCAATTAGTTTCATATCAGTTCAACATTTAGCTCTCACCGGGCAAGATGTGTTCTACAACTACGGTAGTGTGTTCCATACGAGGGCAAGCTGCAACAGAAAAAAAAAGTGTCTCTAAAAAAGGTGACTGTCATCATAATTCCAACTGCGCTATCGAAGTGGGTTCGTTTTCTATGCTTTATGTTTATATATAAATCTAGCGAGTCGACCAAACACCAGCGATTGGCCGCGACACCTTAAAGAACGCATGGCGGGACCTTATTATCGTTCCGGAGCTAAAGAGATTGCGGTACGGGCTGATACGAAAGGACGATGAACGATTCACGAAGCAGGACGCAGGATCATAGCAGGCAACGCCCTGCGTCTCTCAAGATGCCTGTAACTGTAGCCTAAATAGTGTTGGTCGAGTCGCCGTTCAGTCGCAATTTCCAATAACCTGAATGTGTAAACGATTCTAATATCACATTGATTAAACGCTTACGAACGCGTTAAAAGGAATAAATCAAACGGCACAGGACCTTGCTTCTGAACAAGGCAATTATTGGTTTATGTAGAGCCGGTAAACACTGATTGTTGTCCCAGTGAACTTGTGATAACGATTGCAGTCACTGACAGGGTGAGAACAGCAGGGCGCTTCTTTCGAACGCCCGGCCTCTAGTGCGCCCTCCGTGCCTTCCGCCGTGCTTTGGCAGCGCGCGCACGCTCGACATGCACCTAAAAACGGAAGCATTGTCTGTGGTATGAAGCTCGCGCTGGGAGACGGGTCAACTAAAGCTGCTCCTTGCCTTTCTCATCTTGTCGGTTAATATAAGAAAATGCTCGCCGGTTTATGCAGATTAGGCCCGGAGGGGAGGTTCCCGTGGAGCTGTACCTAAAGAACGGGCCCAAGGTATGGGACGACCCCCAGTCAGTCAACTGCACTCTCGAGAGGGGCGAGCATCTCGAGGTCCCCGTCCAAGTTGAGCGCGCCGGTTGCATCCTTCGCTGGAAGTTCCAGACAGGTCCTGGTCACGACGTGGACTTCAGCGTCACGCGTGGGCTCACCGAAAATGGGAAGCAGCAAAAGAAAGTCTTGCCAGTCACCAGGGTCAGGTGTGACCTCGTGCCGGAGACTGGAGAGTTGGAAAACCCCGACATCGGAACATGTGAGGCCGGCTCCGTTATTAATTCGTAGACTCGGAATTAAATTAATGCATGCATGCGCGGAAAAGAGACCGTAGTTTACAGGGCTCTTTTAGAACATCTTATTGAAAATGAGTTGGTGAAATGTTGTTGATGATGCATAAATACGTTGAGCAATACAAGCTCGCTTGAATTAGCCCCCCAAAACAGCCTAAATATTGCCGTTATAAGCATTCATGTTACACAGTTGGGGCCTTTGTTTGGCTTTTATTGATAACATTGATGACAACTATAGTTGTGTCAAATAATAAAGGTAGACGGTCTTTTTTACGGTAAGCACGGGCAGCAACATAAAAAATAGTAAAAAATATGATTGAATAGGTACGAAGAAAAGTCGACATCAGAAATATTATTAAAAGCGTATAAAAATCTATAAGCACGCATTTTGAAGCATCTGCACATCTGCTGTTTGAATGAACGTACATAATCTGGTAGAGTGGATTTTGACATAAAGAGTCTTGCCCATCGTATGCGAAGCGCAAGTGCGTCTGCTTCTTGCACAGGGGTTGCGATGATGTCAGAACGACGAGCTCTTATTGGCTAATTGAAAAGAAAGTGAGTAAACCTCAAGGCATCTAACATTGAGGTCTACCCACTATCTTTTCAATGAAGGCCAGTCAGAGGTTGGCTTCCTTCTGACGTCGCAAGAACTTCTGCGCAACGAGCAGACGACTTGGTCTCCGCACTGTTTCTCTGTTTTGGCGAATTTATGACCCGTGCACTTTGCCTGTTTTGCTTTCCATTTCCAGATTCCTTTCGGTTTGACAACAGCTTTAGTTGGTTCTCCAATAAGCGGATATCCTACGTTTTACAAGTGATCTATCCTGAAGAGATTTTGACTCCCGTCAGCTGATGACTGCCTATATAAATTTGCACGCAGTATAGGTTTGAAACCATTATGTTGAAGTACTAATCAGATGTCGAAAATGGCACAAACATGTACTATAAACAATAATTTGAAACTGATTGCGTCGATGATAAAATTATGTTTACGGCAGAATCTTGGTGGAACTTGTCATTCATTAATTAGCAACTGATTATAATATTTGTCATGTTAGACCGTCCCCGACAATATGTCTCATCTTTAGAAAAACGACGCTGCTAATTACACACGTGATGGTTATATTCTCTTTGGTTAGCTGACACTGACCTACTGCGAAACACTTGGAATTCAAAATCGCTGCAATCTGAGAAGGACGTTAGGGAAATGACGAGGTTGTAAATATGTTTATAGCTGAAGAAATAGTGGGAGCTGAGACTCTGAACATGAAGTTTCACAACCCTCAGCGCCGCAGCGCAAAGAGTCAATTTAGGTCTAAAATATTTTCAGCTTCATCATTCATTTAGTCGCTCCTTAGATTAGAAAGACTGGGTCTCCAAAGTGCTTTGCGGAAATGTAGATGCACCACAGTTCTAGCGATAGAGAAAAGTGGAAAACTAGGATAGGGTGTTGGAATGCATATTACAACTACAAGTAAGAAAGCACGGAGAAAAATGAACTCTCAACAACGAGCTTCTTTTTTTGGTGATTATGTTCCTTTTGCTTTGTGTTTTGGCGTCAAGTCACCCTAACATTCATTAATGATAAGTAATGATTAGAATTAAATATAATTCACTTTCACTTTCGTGAAATGTGACTGCGTGCTATGCAGCTACATGTTTGGAGTATGCTTGGAAAACGTAATCTGAACCGACCGAGCAACTACCGAAATGATAATAAGAGCATAATAGGCCGAGGCAGCCTGGTTCGGTTGGCTACTCTGAGTGGGAGAAGCGGTTCCCAACGGGGAGTTCATTCAATACAAATGGAAGACCGAGATATAACACTGGAAGCGACCCAAGCCAGAACTTGAACCAGCACGGCAAAAATCAGCCAGACAAGAGTGCGATGCTACTCCCATATGACTGAATGATTATAAATGTTTATCCGACAAGATTTCGCCCCTAGATACAGTGAAGGTTCGTTTTCTTCTTAGGATTGCGTCAAGGACCCGATGACTGGGAACGCCGATGGTGTGCAGATGTTGATGGTCTAAAAAAATGACTGACAGGACTCCATCAGTAAGAGAGAAATAAAAAGAAACGTCTATTTACAATACAGATTGAAAGGTGGCCCGACCGGCGTTCCTCACGGCCCTCGCGCGTCCCCCTCTTTCTTCCTTCTCCTCGGGCCACAGCCGCACCGCTCACTTTAAAGTCGTTACTCAGAGAAAAGAAAGACGAAACCGAAACTACAGCCACTGTACCGAAACCCTGCGCATGTCGCGCCTCTGGATTTGTGGCCGTCATTTACGTTGACCTTCACACCTCCCCAACAAGTATAATTTTGGGGCCTCAATGTCACAAAATTATCACACACAAAAACAAAATGTCCGCCCGTCATACACTGGTCGCTCTTGCAAGGTGATTTTGAATGTGCCCGCCAAGGCTCTAAACACCCCGTTACTACCAAAAGTGCCTTCAGGCTTGCATAGTATGAACTAAAACGTGCATCTAAAAAAAATCTGCAAAGGCGTATGCGGAAAATATGCTCTCTCTAAACCAGGCTATTTTCCCAAAACCCCCAACTGCCCGTTCAGTCATACCAACAACAACAAAAAGATCTCACCAACTTAAAGTATACAATCCATTCAAAAAGACACACCAAAACTTCGGTTCGTGCATGCGACGAACCAAAAACCATTGCTTGACAAAGCAGTCGCACCTTCTTTATGCGGTCCGTGTGGACCATGTGGACGTCGCGCTCCACAAGCTGGTCCATCTCGAAGGCTCTCAGCTGCGACACCCGGCCCTCCACCGGGAGCTCTGTGGCCTTGGCCTGCTTCACTTTTGGACTGGGCCAATCCTCCTTCTTGACAGGTTCGCCCTCGGCCACTTTGTCGGGGTCTCCACCCTGGTTCGGGGGTGCCTCTTCGCCAGTCACCGCCCCCGCCACCACTAGGTAGCCATCGTTTGCACACCCAGCACTTGCCTGTCGACCGTCGGGCTTGCGGTCCACGGCCGAGGCGGACACCACTGAGAACGTGCCCCGCAGGTTGTGACGCACTTTCTCCTTGATCCCGAACGCCTCGCCCCAGGCCGCGGAGACAACCTTGTTCACCGTGAAGCTGCCCGGCTGCAGGTGCGCGTGGGGCACCGCCGCCTCCTGCGGGTACTTTGCCTCGAGGTTGAAAGGCTTGTTCCGGTAGAAGGTGAGCATCTTGCCGAGGGGCAGCTGGTGCCAACGGTGAAACACCTCTGCCCGGTTGTCCTATCCCTTGCCCGGGTCGTGGCACAGCTCGATGGAGTAAAGCTGGGCGTCCACCACCGCAAAGTCTCGCATCTTGAAGATGGGTGACAGCAAGACACACTGCAGGGCGCAGCCCCGGTCCATAACCTCGTCCTGGTGCGGTGTCGTCGAGGGCTTCCGTTGGAATACCTTGCAAACCAGCTGCTTGACCGCCGGCACCCAGGTACCGCCCCCGACTAGCTCCACCGACTCCACGTTTGTCGGCCGCAGCCCGGCCACCATCAGCGCCCACGCCATGGTACGCTCGGCACGCGCTAGCAGCTCGGTGGACATGATCTCGAAGGTCTCCTGTTTCAGCTTGCCCGCAACGTCCCAGTCGTTCTTGTAGCACTCGATGTTGAGCGTCAAGTCGTGAGGGTTGGCACTCATCTGCTCCGGAATCGATAATCGCCTGCACCATCCTCGGGCCGCATTTCATCTCCGCTCTCCGAAAATCAGCGCGCGTACCATTCTGATTGACATTTATGTCCTGGAATATACTCTGCTGGGATGGGGTTAAATTTGTTGAGATGTAACCCACCACGGAGTTATTCTTCAAGTCTCGATCCCGCGCTTGTTTACTAGGACAGTCGCGGGAAAAATGTCCCATACCCTTGCAATTGAAACATTTCACCCTGGATTGGTTCGAAATTGAGCCCGGCCCTATCTTATCATGCTTTTTCCCGACAGGACTGGACCCTCTTGTCTTTTCAGACTCGCGGTTTTTCGCATATGCAGAGTTGTTGCGTTGTTTGCATCGTTCTCCCTCTTCAAAACGGTCAGCCCGCGCAGCCACCTCTGCTGGTTTAAACCATTTTCCGGTCTCATTTAGCGTTACATAGGTCTGCATGTCGACGGGCAAGGAATCTCTAATGCGGTCAGAAACCATTAATGCTACCGAGTCCTCAAGAGAGTCGATCGAGCGACTTCGAGCATAATATTCAAAGCAGCTCTCAACCCGTGTCGCAAACTGAGTCCAGGATTCTTTCTCCAATCTAGTGGCTTTGAGAAAAAGCCTCCTGGACTCAGCCGGCGACAGTTTGAGTTCCAAGAGAACTCGCTCCTTAACCGCACCGTAATCACTTGCTTCGCCGAGAGGCAGCCTATTCACCAGCGCCCGCATGCGCTCCGTAAAATAAGGTCGCACGAGCGAACCCCTCAGGCGCTCAGGCACCTCATATGTCGCAAAAACATTTTCGACACTGTCGAACGAGCTTGGTACGAGCAGTTCGGACCACGGCATTTGTGTCAACACACCCTTCATGAGCCTGGAAAAGCTAAGCACCTGCTCCCTCAAGTTGAGTTCTGCGCCGCCTCCACTGGTTCTGGGTCTGTTTTCCGCACGAACTCGCTCTAGTTCAAGCTCTAGACGCACTAGCCGTTCTTTTTCTATTACGAGCTCAATTTCTCTTTCAATCAGTGAGGTACTCGATCGGCCACCACGGTCCCCGTCCTCGTGCGTCCCCACGGTCGCCGCTGGTCTACTCTGAGGTGACGGTTCACCTCGCTCGTCGACATCGTTATCATTAGCTCCATCCCGATCCAACGAGGTAACCGGCCTAAGCCGTTCCCCACTACGTAGCTCCATGGCGGGCACTAGTCAAAATAATCACCTTACCCTTAAAGGTTGACAAGTCCCTATGGCAAGCACACGCAGTCTGTCGATCGGAACAGTCCGGCCCGATAACGGTGTCCGAGTCGTGTAGACACTTCGCTGGGCTGTGGGTCTGCAGCACTTCTCGAAGCCGCGTCGAAGCGAAGTCTCGGCGATCCAAGTCTTCTTCGTTAAACACGGCTGCTGAGGCCCAGGAACTTGCCGCCTCTCTTCTTGTTGAATGGAGTCGCTGTCCGCTGAATCTGCTGAGTCGTTCCAGCTGGCGGGGCCCGCTGACGCAATCCTGTCGACTGCGCCAGTGAAGGTTCGTTTTCTTCTTAGGATTGCGTCAGGGACCCGATGACTGGGAACGCCGATGGTGTGCGGATGTTGATGGTCTAAAAAAATGACTGAAAGGACTTCATCAGTGAGAGAGAAACAAAAAGAAACGTCTATTTACAATACAGATTGAAAGGTGGCCCGACCGGCGTTCCTCACGGCCCTCGCGCGTCCCCCTCTTTCTTCCTTCTCCTCGGGCCACAGCCGCGCCGCTCACTTTGAAGTCGTTACTCAGAGAAAAGAAAGACGAAACCGAAACTACAGCCACTGTACCGAAACCCTGCGCATGTCGCGCCTCTGGATTTGTGGCCGTCATTTACGTTGACCTTCACAGATACAATCACACTAGCGCCAAACGCTCGTAGATCATGATTGGCCGGCATGCGGCAGAATTCGACCATCTTTCCTAGGTGTCGTACAACATATCAGAAGTTTGGCCTAGCATGCGCAATCCCGAGCTGGCACCAACTAATGACCACGTTTTGGGCGCAAAACGCATTGTTTTAAAACATGTAGCTCTTTTTAACTGAACCTACTAATCCCAAAATGGTTGTCCATCCGTCCGCTAGTGCATTCCCTCGCTAACATTTACTGGAAGATTGACAACACCCGATTTATGATGTCACGTTACACCTCGACATGACACCGTGGCGTCACGTCACGTGACCACGTAGTGTGACATCAGGCCACGCTATGTGA